CGTAATATTGTTCTACGTCGAAGACACCGTCGGCAGACAATGCGATTACTGTTAAAGCACAAATTAACAGAGCAATCATCGAGTAATCAGCCGGCGACCGTAATCGCGCGCGTAACGAGCATGTGACGGTACCTTCTCTCTCGATCAACGTCAACAGAATGAGCGTATTAGTTCATCATGGCAGTCACACGTGCTGTATATTTCCTTTGATCCATCAAAACGACCGCAGCTAATTTTCATCTACCTAATTGTTATTGACACGTCTACTACGCCTATCTTAATTTCAGATTAGACACGTTCTTAAAAAAAGAGAGAATATTCCAAATTTAAATGTCTTGCAAAAATTACATCCAATTATTTATTTATTTAAAAAAATATTTTTCTCTTAAGAACAGTTTCTTAGACCAAATATTATGCATACAATGGATATATGTAAAATAATCAAACATATCGATTCGTGGTATTTGAAAAAAAAGTTCAACTCGTTGTGGTTTCATATAACATGGGCTAACTTTAACCTTGAGAGGTTTCGTGAATATTGGTAGCAATTTCTAGGAAACCGAGCGCGCGTAATAAAATGCTCCACAAATATTTCGCCAATGGACAAAATACAATTTTGCTAACATTGTCGCTTCGTCGATGCAATGTCAAATGTCTAAACTATTCTACTGTTGTCACTCTATCTTACGTACACGAGGGACCAATTCACGACGCGATGATTGCGGAGGCGATCGACGCCACATGCTGATTGAGCAGTCGTTTGTTATCAGTAGCATCGACATTCTGCCGCTGACGCAATAAAATATTTTCCCTTGCATATGCATGCATGCATGCGATGCGATATATTCGAAAGGATCGATGAAATCCATCGGAGGATTTTCCGCCGCATCGCGCGCGATAAAATATGAACTGCCTTAGAAACACACGGAGAATTTCGAGAATTCTCGCAAAGTCACGCAACGCTCGAAATATAATATAAAACTATAGGATAGAGAGCAAAATAGCAAATATACATATATTGGTAAATAAAACAATCAGTAAAGTGCATTTCAATCTTGAAAATAATTTCAATTTCGCTATTTCACTAAGAAGATTTCACTATTTCTCAAGCTCGAGATCTATTTTATCATTTTAGATTATGAGATGAGGAAAGCGAGCAAGAACACGCGAATAATATATCAGGTGACATATTAGATAATTTTAATTTTGACATAAAAATTATAGCTTTTGATCCGAGAATTAGAAATCGCAGATTTAAACATGAGATAAAAACGAGAAGAATTTTGATTGGAGAAAATGAAATGGCAAAAGAAACTACATTTTATTTTAATCGGACAGTGTAATAAATATTTTCTGGATATTAAATGTGAATCGTGAAATATAGAGAGGGCATATTCATAAATTTCAAGTATGATAAAGACGATAGTAAAAAATCTGTTCCCATGTAAACGCATGTAAGACAACCTACTATAAGTAGGTTTGCCTAATAAGAAGAAAGCGAATTGGTGAAAATTGGCGGCATCCTCTCTTCCGCTATGCAACTGTCAGTCGACTTATGTTTGTAGAACGAAAAAGAGAGAGAAAATGAGAAAGAGAGAGGCGACATACCGAAATGGATAGAAACGTTTGTAATATAATTTACGCGACGGATCGATTGTCTATGACAGCAACGTTTGAAGGGACGTAAAAGCAATTTCGCATAAAACTAAATGAGAGCACCGAGATCGTTTCCATTTTTTTTCGCGCGCTCGATACGTTTCATTTTTTTTGTCTCGTTTTCACCATTCATTAAATCCCAATCGTACGCGTCATTTCTGTTTCTATTATTTTCACATATATGGACCGTGCGATAACTTTTCTTGCTCGAGCTTTAAATTGCAGCTGGCGTTGCATCGTCGCTCCGCTATCTTTATATGCATGCGTCTGCAATAAGCTACTCTAACAGATTTATTCGCTAACTGTTCGAAACTACACAGTTTGAAACTATAAACTCGTGTATTGCAAGACATATAAATGCGATAATTAATAGTATCGAATATAATAATTTGTAGCAGAATTTGGTTCTAAAATCCCCAAGAGGTTGAATAATTTTCCGCCTCATTAAATTGAACAAATTGCAAACTTTTTTTGTAAATTAAATTAAAAATTTGGTATTCTCTTTTTCAGTTTTCACGAATAATTAATAAATAATTAATGAACATACAGAATTAATAATGAATAATATTATAGTAATCATTAATAATAATTAATAATATTAAATGTGAAAATATTCATTGGTAGATAAACTTCCGGTAATAATTTAATTTATATTTACATTTGTACGATGATTTTTAATCTTTTAACAGCAAAATCGGACATGCATGATAGATGACAAAATGCTTTCACCGAGCAAATTAATCAACAGCCGTTCGCAAAACATTTTCGAAGAAAGCGCAAGTCTCACGTTTCTCGTTTCGTTTATTACCTCGAGCTGACTCCCAGGTCGAATCGGAATGACCGTCAAATACAGATACAAATCGTCGTTCCCAGAACGAATCGATCGTTGACCCAAACCGGTCTTCCCGAACGAAAGTCACAGGAGAAAGGAAATAAATGATGATCGGGATATATGTCACACGTTGTATCTACAAACTTTTAGATGCGGGAGAATTATTCGCACGATAGAAAACGGCGCGACCCACTGACAAGATATTAATCGAAAGAAAGTTATGGGCGCGTTTCTGTAAATTTCGTCAATTTTGAAGGATTTCAAAAATAAATTTTATATACCATGAAATTGCAAAAAGACGATTGTAAATTGTATAAATGTGTACCGCTAATATAAGATTATATAATAATTAAACTCGATCATATTAGAGATCGATTGCTCCCGCATTAATCACTATACATTTTCTAAAGCACATTCCTTTGTAAAATTAATACATTTTCGTCTTTTCAATTTATTTACGCCTTTACTGTATATTACATTGAAAAGGTATGTATAGAGATAAAAGAAGCAGCATTAGAACGTTTATTGCGTGAGATGTTGTAAGGGTACATATATCTTACTCACTAAGCTGACTATATTGTATTCAGAGAACGTGATCTGTGTGCATTCACGCTTTATTTCAAAGACGAAGTGTGTTTGTACGCCACTGTGTTAAAATTCTTTATAGGAATAATTTTCTTAGATAAAGCAAAATAGATGGATTTATCTTTTTCAAGATATATTTATCCTCCCAAAAAATAATGCACAATATTCTATAAGTGACAATTATATATAAAATGGAATAAAGATTTATTTTCAAAGTTAAACGCTTAAATTTTAAATAATCCATTTTTTGCAAAAATAAATGAAATGTTTCCGCAAAAGTATATATATATATATAAGATTTATAAAAGCTTTTACTTCTTTTATTGCATTTTAAAGCGTTTTTATATTGTAAAACGGATTTTATAACTTTTCAACTACACATGCTAATTCATTTAAAAGCAATCTTGGATACGATTCGTGAAACCATTTTTATTTTATGTAATTCTATCATATCAACGTGTGATGACTTTTCACGTCAATTCTCTCAATATTTTTTACAAGGACAATAAAAATTGATCTTCGAGACGCTCATGCCTGATAGAAAAAGTTACTTATGATCTATATATAATCTATGGATTGAACTACTAATTTGACATCGAATGATAGAAAATTTCACCTCGAGTCAGATCTGAGATAAAGCAAAAAGTGAGGAGTTGGCGCGAATCGGAGCAATTAGTTGAGTCAAGTGGAAAATGGGAGCGCGAGAGATCAATTTCACAATTTGTCGAAGTGGAAATTCTATCTCGATCGGATTAGAATTTTTGTTTGAAAACGCCCACTCTGTCGCTTGTCACAGCTGTGTTTGCTTTAAACCCATAAGTACTGGCGCATAATTTGCATCGACGATTATTTTTCCACGAGCAAAATTTTGCAAACGGAAAGTTGTTGAGCTGTGTAGTTTAAGTGTTGCTCTCCGGCGCAGCTTAATATAATATAATAATATAAAGCCTGTGTAGAATATAAAGTAGCTGCGCACAGTATATGCTGCACTGCATATCTAATGAATCGATAAACGTCGTTCCACTTTCGAAAGTTCACCGCGAGATCTCAATGCGACGCGTTACATAAATTATCGTGATCGCGCGCGCGCGATGATTGATTCGGGAGAACGTCTCACCGTTTCGTGAAATATCTCGAACACGTGACTGCAATTTATTCGTTCGCATTATGCAGATTTATCCCGCGAAATATCTGTATAAATATCGATTACGCCCATATCCCACGTGGACAGGTGTAATTCAAATTAATTGCAGCCTCCGCGACTCGTGTACGTATTATATATCATCGTCCCGGCTAATACTTGAGCTAGCTAATACTTTATCAATGAAATACGTCACGGGTGGTCTCGGTCGCCGGATAAATCCCGCGATAAAATGCCAGCAGGTTGTAATTACAAGCGGTATATATTCGCTCGGCGCGGATAATTAGCGCCTATACCTACCTGTCTACATCGCCGTAAAAAGCTGAACTAAAGCAACTTTTTACACGACGATAATCACCGCGACGAGAAATAATCTTCGTTCGCGAATGAAGAATATTAAAAGCCCGTACAGCCACCCTTTCGCGAATAAGGGTTTAGCGCGTAAAATGCGGTCTTTTATCACGATTTTCTACCGTAAATCCGTCAGATATGTATGCATGGATGTGTCCAAGTACTATGTTTCCGAAAATCCAGAAGATGTCTAAAAGACGCTAAAATTAGATCCAGTCTCTTTTGTACGTCCTTTAGACGTCTTTTTGTGCTGTCTCGCCGTTTAAAGTGTCTTGAGACAATCGCAGTGTGTCACGTAGTCTTGTCTGATGCGGGGATCGATTAGCCAAAGCTTTGAATCTTTCGTTCACACATATCGTTCTCCCGCTTCGCATAAATCCCAATTTGGAATAAATCACACGCGCTCACACGCACTCTTTCTTTCTCTTTCCGCAGAGTAATCTGACAGACGGGGAAGAAGAAGATCTGCCTGAAGACGCTTTCTCGCTGCTGTCGGTGCTCCTAGTTGGTTCGCTAAACTTTCCATTTGATCGATCGTGAGTCGCCCCTCGAAGACAGCCTCCTGAGAGTGCCTTTTTTCGGAAGACCTCCGTCCAATCATAGTCTCTGCCTTCCTCCTTTTAGCTCTCATCTCTCGACATCCTTCTGCCATCCTTATCTCCCGTATACCGTTTTCTCCCACCTTTCCCGAGACCTCTTTTGCCGCTTAATATAACCGATAAAATCGAATAAATTACGATTCGACGTGGGTCCCGAGGGTGAGTGTCATAATTTCACTACCACCGATGCTCGCCACGAACTGTCAAACTCTGTTCGATAATTTTGTCATTCTTAATGTGCCTTTTGCAGCGAGATATCGATACGATTCGTATACGCGGAGAGAATTTTCTCTTAGAATTTATTCTCTGAAAATCCATGGTAATCGTGGGACAATAATATGGTATTGGAAGAATTTTATAAGAGTTTCTCCGATTAAAATATTTACCGCAATAAAAAATATTAATATGTGCACAGTAAAATTAATTATAATCGAACATATTTTATAAATAATCAGAGACTCATAAAATCCTTTCAATACCATATTGTCCTACGATTACCATGATTTTCAGAGCAAATTCGAAGAAAATAATTCTCTCTGCGTAGTATTGCCAGAAATACAGAAATTGCTGTTGAAAAGAATTTTTCATTTAAAATTTTATAAAACCAAAAGTATCTTGATTTTATATTTTCGAGGAACGTATTAATAGATTTTGCGATTAAAATATTATGATAAAGAAATGTAATGTTTATTTAAATTTATATAAAAATTTTAATTTTTTATTAAAAAAGAATTCTCTTTAGAAAATACTTCACTTTACGTATAGTATGCAAAAGTGCAATGCACAGAGAAGATTTTCTTGAAATTTTAAAAGATAATAAGATTTTTCTTAACCGACGTTTAACATCAATTATTGTGATATACAGAGTGCGCGCGCTTACATTATCGATAAAATAAAGGTTTGCGAAGCAAGTTATATACTTGCTGAATTTAATCCCCTTTAAAGGAGATATACGGATCTAACTGAATGGATTTATTAGCCCTCCGTTAATATTGGCCTGCTAAATTCATTTTTATTTTATCTTGTTCAGCATTCTTATACATTTAATTACAGAAAAAAATATATAAATAATGCGAAGTAATGCAAGAAATTATCTCGAAGCTTCCTTAATACGAGTCATATCGATATCAAATCTGCCAGAGATTATTTCGTTAAAGTAAAGATTGAAATTTCATAAAGTGGATATTGACGATCCCGCAAGGTGAAATATCTTAATGATAAAAATTCCTCGGAGAAGATATAATTCTTACAATACGGCAATGTTATCCTGGACCATTTGACAATACGTTCGTGCCGCATACAATCTCCGATCATCTTTTTCCTCCATTCGATCCGATGAATAAGTGATGAGTCGTATATTTCATCGATGACACGAGCGGATTTCTTATATAAGGCACGCGCTTCGAGGGGCGAATAGCAGCATGTCCTGGCGATTCTCCGTTAGACGAATCTCTGCCGGTATTCGCAGGATTCCTTCTTGTGATCCTGATATTCTTCTCCGTCGCCGGCAACGTCCTGGTGTGCGTGGCGATCTACACCGACCGCGGGTTGCGGAGGATCGGCAACCTCTTTCTGGCCTCTCTGGCCGTGGCCGACCTCTTCGTCGGTGGGCTGGTGATGACCTTTGCCGGAGTCAACGATCTCCTCGGCTACTGGATCTTCGGACTGTGGTTCTGCGACATCTGGATCGCCTTCGATGTTATGTGCAGCACTGCCTCTATCTTGAATCTATGCGCCATATCGCTCGATCGTTACATACACATCAAGGATCCTCTCAGGTGAGACCAAATGTGATTAATACAGCTGTCTTTTTCGAGAGGAACATTTTTAAAAATATAATAATTTTTCGGTGCGACTGAAAGATGCGCACAAATTTGCTGATAAATTATAGAGAATTAAGTTAAAAGATTGCGATTGTTATTTGATTATTTTATTTTAGGTACGGCCGTTGGGTAACCAGGAGAGTTGCCATTGGCGGTATCGTTGTTGTATGGCTCCTAGCAGGACTTATATCCTTCGTACCGATCAGTCTAGATCTTCACAGAAATGAAGATACACCGAAGAGTTATAACGATGCAGTGGAGGTATAACAATACTTATAAAATTAGGAAAGCTTATTAATATTAAATCAATAGGTAAAATTTGATAAAACAATCTTGATCTTCCTTTCAATTTTTCGGAGCAAACTATTGCTTTTAATTATCGCGAATCCTTTATTATCCTTTCCGTTCCAAATTTATGAAATATGCATTCCATCTACTTCGATATTTAAAGTATAGTTACGTAATATTTAAAAAAAGTTATAAATATCACAACTGATTATGAGATAATAAATGTATATCGATTGCGTGAAATTAAATTCGCGTTGAACTTCGTAAAGGAGATGTGCGTGAATCATCGTTTATGCTTTTGAATAACTAAGGGATTAAAAATAAATGACATTTCTAGTTTTTACCCCGTCACATTCGAAGCAGTTTACGCAATCCTTGTGTACATTAACTTTACTCGTCTTTTACCCTTACAGGAGCACCCTACGTGTGCCCTAGACATTACACCCACTTATGCGGTGGTGTCCTCTTGCATATCTTTCTACGTGCCCTGCATCGTGATGCTGGGTATTTATTGCAGGTAAGAACGCTTGTCCATTGCCGCTCAGAAACCATTAATTTAGCTTTTTACTTCCACACTCATCGTAATCACTCGCTATAATCTTCATGAATGATGCGACTCGCACGCAATTCTATGTACGAAGCATGACTAGCTGCAATAATCCGACGCCGTTTCAAGCGTTCGAGCTTGCCAACCAAAACAATGCGTCCAGTCTCGGAAAAGAGATTCCCATTCGTAGTGAATAGGAGATAAATTATGTATACATTTTTTCCGTGCGTGTTTCAATTTATCAGAAGAACGAGTCGCTAATGAAACAACGATGCTGATTGCTAAACAAAATTTTTAAGTCATTTGATACATCGCTCTTCTCATTCCACTTCTTTAATAGATAAAGAACCCTTTAATATCTTCATAAAATATATTTTTATATTTCATACGATGCGTTCCTCTTTTTAGGCTCTATTGCTACGCGCAGAAACACGTGAAGAGCATCCGAGCGGTGACGAAGCTGCCGGACACGTCGATGGCCAAGAGTTTTCGTTCGAAGAGCAGTCGCTGCAAACCACCGAAGCCGCAGACGAAGACGAAGCCGACTAGTCCTTACCACGTGTCCGACCACAAGGCCGCAATCACTGTCGGCGTAATCATGGGCGTATTCCTGGTGTGCTGGGTGCCCTTCTTCTGCGTCAACATTGTCGCAGCCTATTGCAAGACCTGCATATCTGTCCGAGCGTTTCAGGTGCGCGCGATATGCGTAATTCTCTTTTTTTTTTTACTCTTAAAAGACATCAGAAAAATTGCTTTTATTTTATCTCCACTACAATTTTTGCAGTCCGAGATCTTTTTCTTTTGTTAAAGAGAAATCGATTAAGAGGAACTTTTTTATTTTTGACACTGTTTCTTTAGCAAGAAAATTATTTTAATTATTATTTTAAAATAAAAGTTGAAAAAGCTTCGATATACAAATATAAATTCAGATATGAAAGTTAAGTTAAGAACAGGCACAACAAAATTGTTTTTAAATTCCTCTTTAATTATCTTGAACGTTTCGGTCCGACCAGCAGGTTGACTAAAAAAATTCAAGTGGCTTGTATATCCTGACTTGTATGTCTAACTAAGGTGGACTGAAACGTTTAAGATAATTAAAAAAGAATTTAACAATTTTGCCTCTGGCTGTGTAATAATTAATTTATTAGGATCTCATATATCATAGAGAAGAAATCTCTGGGAATTTCAATTCTTTTTCTCTCCGAGCAGGTTCTCACGTGGCTCGGCTACAGTAACTCGGCCTTCAACCCGATAATCTACAGCATCTTCAACACTGAGTTCCGGGAGGCGTTCAAGAGGATCCTCACGAAGGGAGCGCGCGCGCGAGGCAACCAGCCGTCGACCAGCGAGTGCGGGGAGTTCCGTTCCGTGGTGGTCCAGAAGCGCAACGGATCCATGATCGAATGCAACATCAGTCCAAGATCGAGCGCGGACAGTTGCCAGGTCGGCGTCATGGCTCAACGACATCGCGACACTATTGTCAGCGCTATTTAAATCGCGTCTCAACAACTCTCGATCATCTTAAACGATCTCTTACCCGGATCTCACTCGCCGCTTTGCCAACGGAGTCGTCACGGAGTCGTTTTACCCTTTCTCATTCAGCCGATCTTGTCGAGGAATCCGCGGCACTAGGATCTCTAGAGAACATCGACATCGTCTGACGGAAAGTATATACGACGTGCGAATTTACACACACATGCTACGTCCAAGATATTTTTTTCATCGTATCGATACTCTGTACAGTAAGAAAATTTGTGTTTTCTTGTTAAAAACGGTCCCCGTTAAAATTTTTGTGTTAAATATTCTATACATTCATGTATTAATTTAACATATTGCTGTTATATTGATTGAACTTAAATGTTAAATTATTCAAACTGAAAAAAGATGTAAAAATAACATAATATGCATCTATTTTTAATTTTACACAATAAATATATTATGTTTTAGTAACAAGATTTATATGTTCAAATTTACAGAAAAAATGTTGATTTTTTTATTTTATAATATAAGTGGGAATGATAAAATCTAAAATTCATATATTTTTTAGTTAATTTGTACATTAAAGTTCTATGTTAATTTTACATAAAATTTATTTTAAATTACTTGAAGTTTTGCATTTATTTTGAGTTAAAATATTAACATAATATTTGTGTCCCTAATTTATAATATATGCATATTATATTAAATTAACACAAAAATTTCTGTGGACCGTTTGAGACATGTGATATCTGTTAAAAACACAAATTTTTCAACTGTGCAATCGCATGGGAGACATATCAATTACGAGACGGTTTCATTTCGACATGTAAAATTTAACAAATTCCCCGATTTTATCTCCGTTTCGCGAACTTATTTGTTTATTTTAATTTTAATTTCGAATCTACACAAATGTAGGGGGGAAAATCATTGCGCTCGTGACTCTTAATGAAACGATCATGTAATAAATTATCTCGTTTTGCGTATGTGAACTTGTAATGTATGTATACGTACGTAAAATCTGCACACATTTGCTTGTATTAAAAAAAAAAAAAAAAAAAAAACGGATTTCATTCTCGTGTGTTGAAATTTAGTATTTGCGTTTGCGAAGTATTAAAAACCAAATCGTCTGCCTGCTCGAAGGAGGACTTGCAACTGCAGTTACGACATTGATACCGTCTCTCGCTCATGTAATATAAATGTAACCGAGATTGCTAGAATAATACTCGACGGTATTATTGACTCTCTCCTCACGTAATATCAATTAATGTTCTAGTTAGCTATCATTGGCACTTGGCCCGAGAATACCGTTTAGAGAACCGTTGCTCGTGTCTCTTCGACGTCGGGTTTCAGAGGAACGGTATCGTAAATGCAGAAGCAATATAATACCGAGATACTTATCGGAAATCATAAAAAGAATACTTTGTATCTACGATTTCGCCATCGTCATCTTTGCGATTTAAGACTTCTGGATCCTCGCCGCAGCTTTGTTAGATTGTGACGTCAGAAGCAAGAAAACACACGTTAAGAATCCTTAGATATTATTTTTAAGTGAAAAGGTACATATTTCGATGAAATACTACTTCAGATGGCTTTAGCACACTTTTAAAATACTTTGAAAACTATTCTTTTCCCTTGACAGTCAATCAATAACCGTAAAATGATCGTGATGTCAGACTTTGTCATGCAGAATGACTGTGCAAAGACTAGACGGATTAAGCCACAGTCATTTTACAGCTATTGATTGATTATAAAGAGAAAAGGATAGATTTCGAAATATGTTAAGAATGTGTAGCCATCTGACACTGTTTCGTCGAAATATCTTTCCGAAATGATATAAATAAGAATTTTTAGCGTGTTTTCTCGCTTCTGACATCACAATTTTAACACGGTCGATGAAGAGCCAGGAATCTTAAAACAATAAAAAAATTACGTGTGAAAATTTCTTCAAAATAATCGTATGATCAAGGAGCATCTTTTTATTATGAAAGAGGTTGTGATGTTCGATGCGGGTGTAAGCGTGATAATTCGTGAAGACGTGTAATCAATCATCGTAATTAAGACAATCACCGAAATCTACTTGGAAGCATATCTAGAAAATATGATCCATCGACACTATAGTTTTTCTTTTGTTACATCCTTTATTTATTTATTTATGCTTTTTTTTAAGCGGTACGACTATAAGGCATAGAGTGGGATTTGTCGATTAATAGAATCCAAGTGTAGCGCTTAGGATACTAATCTCATCAAGCAATCTCTTTAATGGAGCAATGTCGATAGTCAATCTACGATATTAAAAGCTGGATGTTACCGATACGTTTCTGAATAGTAACGTCTATCGCAACATCATGAAGAAAAAAAAACTTTATAGCAATAGGCCAGCGCAACGGCGCCGCCGTGTGAACTACAGAATTCATTTTCCATCTTGTAAATAGCCATTTAATTATTTTTCTATTTGACGGGGCGCTAAGAGACACAAAGAAAAAGAGAGGAAAATGCTCGTAAAAGCGCGAGATCTCAGAGTTATAGGCGCGCTTATCAGATGTTATACGCGAAAATTGAAAATCGTCGAGCACCCGTCGAATCTAAAACTCAATTCTGCATCACATATCCGAGCGGAAGGAAGTAGTCACGAGCCAATTTGGCGAGGATCCGTCGAGCTTCCTTGGTAAATCTATATCTACGATACAAAGCGCATTACGATCCGGCGTGAGAGAGGAAAGAGAAAAGGGAGAAAAGCGAAAGGAAATGGTACACATGTGTACGTTGTTGTAGATTGTATAAGAACGGTTTTTAAACAAACAATGTAAAACTCTCTAGCCGGCTCGGCGCAATGTTGATGTATATTACTGATATATTCGAATGACCGTTCTCTGTAAATATATTTTAGATTATAAGACTTCGACAAAAATATCTGATTTGCGACTTCTTACTGATTCCTGTATCCCATCAAAACGTAAGAAACACAAACCAGTACGAAACACAGGCTCTTGTATATGCTTATTATATCTATCTAAAAAATTCAAGCTGCTAATATAAAACTCTAAATTAACAAATAATATTTTTATAAATTATCTTCTCGTTGTAACTTATATACACAATACGTTTATCAGATCACTGAGATTTTTGCGAGGGATATATAAAATTATCATAAAGATACATTTCCTTATCAGTCGAGATTTCTAATAAATAAAAATATTTATTGACTCCTTATTTTCTTAAACAATATTACACTGTTACGTTCAATATATCTTTCTTTCACACTACTTTTGTTGAAGAATTCAGGCACAGTATCTGCCCATGTGCGATTCTCCCTCGGAATATCCAAAAAATCGAGCAAATTGCTGCTCAATTTCGGTGTAATTGGATATAATATTAAAGCAGCTATTCTACTACTTTCCAGAGCGAGCGATATTACAGCTTTAAGTTCTCTAATCGAATCTGCATCGTCTACTTGCTTTTTCAATTGCCAAGGCTCGTGATAATTTATCATCCTATTTGCGCAATGAAGGGTACTCATGACCACGTCTACGACATGATGCAAATTGTATTCCTCGTAACTTTCGCGTGCTTTCCTGCTTACGGATTCTAAAGCTTCCCTGGTTTCGTCAGCCACCTGAGATTGCAACACGTTCCAGTATTTTGTCGGATCAGGGAACTCTTTGGACGGATTGATCGTTTTACCAGCACAACGATTGACTAAATTGCCCAATGTATCCGCCAATTCGGAATTCAACACATTAACGATCTTTTTTGAACTGTAATCTACAGTGCAAAGTCTCTTGTATGTATAGAGATTTAAAAATATATGCTACAAAGTGATATATAATAAGTAAATGCATAAAAATCATCTTACTTGCGTCATTCTGTGGCACTGCTTCTCTGAGAATGAAGTATCGTAATCCATCTTCTGAATAATTATTTGCAGCTTCAAACGGCGAGACTACATTTCCTTTTGATTTCGACATTTTCTGATGATCAACGGTCCAATGAGCATGACACAGTAACGTTTTTGGAGGTTCAAGACCCGCTGCTATCAAGAATGCTGGCCAATAAACACCATGGAACTTTAAAATATCTTTTCCTATTACCTGTAACAAGATCTTCTTTCAATATATTTCATATTTATACATGCTAATAATCAATATCGACTAAAACTTATAAACATACTTGAATAGCAGGTGGCCAAAACTCTTTATACGACTCATCTGGATACCCTAAAGCTGTTAAATAATTTATCAAAGCATCCAGCCATACGTATATTGAGTGAGACTCATCGCATGGAGAAGGTATAGCCCATGGCACCTTACTCCTGATTCTAGTGATGCTTAAATCTCGTAAACATGTACCTTCCTCTATCCACTCGGACAATACTTTGTGGTACAATGCTGGTCTAATTACGGTTTCTAAAACAAATTCATAATTTGTAAGTAAAATTAATAATTTGTTACAAAAAAGGATTAAACGAGAAACAACATTATTCATACCATCTTTGAGCCAATACTTGAGATCATCTTGAAATGCACTAAGTCGAAACTTGTAATTCTCCTCTTCCATCCATTCCACTATATTTCCTGATTGTGCGGAGACTTTTATTATTTTACCAGTAGGATCTCTCTGTTCTATCAACTCTGCATCAGACAAGAACGCTTCATCCGATACACAGTACCATCCTGAATACTTTCCCAGATAGATATGCCCTCTTTCCTCGAGCTGTTTCTGAAAAGATATAATTTCCCCAACATGAGTCAAGGTATCATACAAGGATACAGGATTAATGTCTAAATTTATTCTAAGAACCCAAAAGTGATGCACTGCATCGTAATGTTGCTTTTCTGTGGTTCTAATGAAACGCGAATAATCCACTTCGAACCTATCACACATTTTTCTGAATTGCTGCGAAATATTTGTGCAGTACTCGAGGTTCGGCAGACCCGCCGCGGTTGCGGCAGCTTTAATTTTGTTACCGTGCTCATCAGTGCCTGTAGTCAGGAATGTTTTGTGGCCCAACATGGTGTTGTATCGAGCAACTGCATCAGCCAGAACCGCACTGTACAAGTGTCCGATATGAGGACCTAATATATAAAATATGCAAACACTTGTAGCATTTTTTTATGTTTAGATTGTAATTTGATAAGAATTTTTAATTTGAGAATAGTGCGTACCAGCATTCACATAGAAAATAGGTGTGGTAATATATTTATTTGGAGATAGATCCTTTACATAATGCCTTTTTATTGTTTGATTCCACGATGATTGTACATTTTTGAATAGAAATGAAAATGTTGCCGATTTTGAAAGCTGATAATTTGGCATTATGTGTTTAACTGAAATTTAAAAATTAACAATTATTATTGATTATTGAAACTTGTCAAGAAATTTCTAAACATAAGAGAAAAATGATATATTTACATTTACATTTAGGAGACAAAAACTACTTTTTATTATATAATTAAACAATATCTCAAAATAAAAATATACGGAAAGTAAAATACAGGGACTGTTAAATCTGAAAACTATTTATTTTTTTTCATACATATAGTTCTACTACATTAAATAAGGAATAATATAGAAATTTTTTACAATATTTATTATTTCTCCTTCTCAACATTAGTTGTTTCTAGAGATATTGTTTCTAATTGAGCTATTAGATCCATATGTTTAAAATCGTTAGGTTTATGAGTAAATGTTTCAAGCAACTGTAATCTGTGTTCGTTATCATTACAATAATATAATTGTAGTTCATTAGCTAGACATTGTGCTTCTTGTACTTGTAGTAATTTGGTATCAAATTCTCCCCGCATGAGAATAATGCCTTTATCATCTCTCAATTCGGTATAATGAATCATGGTTAAACATTCGGGTGCATCCTCTTTATGCGTCTGATACCACAAAAGTGGTGTCATGTGTATTTGAGAACCATAAAATTGACACATAATAAATTCATAGCCATGATCTCTCGGTAATGGCAAAAGAAAAGTAGAATATTGCTTGCCACGTGCAAACATTGTGTCGTATTGCTCAGGTGTCATAGTTCCGCAAATACAGTCCTTTTGCTTGTGGTACTCTTTCCATATTTCTATAATCTCTTCCTTTGTCTTATCTTTTATCATGTCAACCTTCATTATGCTATTTAATCGCGCCTCTTGCATCTGCGTACCAGGTTTCAAACTTGGTTTTGCCTCAGTTTGATACAACTTTGGAGCTTGTTTCTCTTTAACAATAAATGTTTCGGCATAATTTATCATACTAAAATAATGCTATAAAACTCTTACAATTAATATTCTTATCGCCGATTATTTATTATAGCTGTAATATTTATTGTAAAAATTGTATCATAGATATCAAGATACAAAAAAATACATTTACCCAAAAGTTTTATTGTAAAACTGTCACAGGAGAAAAGGAAGAAGAAAATTAAAGAATTTTAAATAATGTTGAAAAAATTACAAAGTTTCATATACCTTTCTTCTGACGAGCTTTTTCTTGTTGCTCGACGCGTTGCAGAAACTCTTCCGGACTGGTCTGTTGCAGCTTGGCGAGTTTCTCGGCGTATTTATCGTAATAGGGATTCTTTTGCAGCTCCTCCAGAACCTTTTCGAGTCTCGCCCGGCTCGTCATGATGCACCTCTCGTCGCTCGTCCTCGCCGTTATCCGAGTATCCCTCAAGCGTCTGCCTAATCTGCCTATCCGCGTGACGTTTCGCAATAAAACACTCGCCATTTGGCGTCAATTGTGTAACGCGAACAATATCTCGAACGAAAATTACGGTTCGGTCGGAGAAAAACGTGTCGACGCACCAGACGCCATTTTGAAAATGACAGATGTCATCGCTGTCGCTTTAAATCACTTCGGGCCTCAAACGAGCGACTTCAGGTCGAAATTGAATTCCGGAATTTGTGGAAAAAGAAGGCTGTCAATTGCACGACGCAATCGCGAAGCAAAAAAAATACGTCGATTACTCGGGCGGCCGAAGTGTCAAATGTCAAGCGCGATCGTCAGCTGATCGCGCTCGGGTGGCTCCATTGAACGGTAGTGGCCGCTTCCGCCGTCCCCACCGCGCCATCACTATCGTGACGCATCGCTTCCGGGACGTCAGTCGCTGCTCTCGTGCCCACAGCGAAAGGGAAAATGTTGGCGCGCTCTCGATGGGGCTTGCCGTGCCGTCAGTGACTGCTCCTGTGTAACAAACGTAACAACGATCGCGCCCTTCGGCGACCTCAACTGTCAAAATTTGGTTTTCTGCGAAGCGCGCTGATACGGCCCGGTCGGTTCGTACCTCGATTTGACTCGCGAGAGAGAGAGAGAGAAAGAGCGAGAGAAAGAAGGAGAAAGCGAGACGGAGTGAGTGGAAGAGAGTGAGATAGAGAGGGAGACGTAGAGCAGGTGCAAAACTACATCGCCGTGTAGAGGTCCCCGCGTTAGGGAAGAGCCAGACAGAGTGGAGGAAAGAGAGAAGAAGGCATACGGAGGAGAGTAGTGACATGGCGTCGTTGGCGGTATCAATAGCGAAGAATGAGTTCATCGTGGGTGGCAAGTATAGATTGATGAGGAAGATCGGCTCAGGCTCCTTCGGTGACATTTACCTCGGCATCAACATCTCCAATGGCGAGGTAAGGAAAAACAACGGACTGCTCCGAAGGCGACCTACTCTCTCTCTCCGAGCCGGACTCGCCAGCTCGGCTCCCTCTAGTCGCGTTTCCCGTTTCTCGTCGCGACCCGATTCAACGATCCGTCATCCGTCCATCGGCCCTCTTCGCCTTCCTCGACGCCGACTTTCCTGAGTCTCAAGGAGGCTTTGATTTTTCGCGACGCGAAAGAACAAGGCGATCTCGTCGACGATGCAGAAGCAGAGGTTTCTCTCTCGGCGAGTCGCCCCCTGTCAAAAGAGTCCTCCGTGTGTCTTGTAATTTTGAAAACGCGTTTCTCGCGAATAAATGTTGACGTTAATTCGTCGAAGAACGTCGCGAGCGTATATCGCGAGTGACGTACGAATACGTCGCGACGCCGTCGAGATAAATATAAGCTGACGCTTGTCATAATAATGATGATGATGATGATATCGAGATTTGTGAGTGCGCGCATTTCTGCGATCGTTCGCGGAAATCGTCCGCGCGTCGTGGATTTCCACGTTTTTCTCGTTTCACTTGGATTCGGTGAATCCACTAATAATGTTAACACTAATCCTGCATGCTGTCTTTTATTAGGTTATAGTTCCATTTATAGAGATAAGGCCGTGCACAACAATAGAGGAATAAATATTAAATATTAGGAATTATTTGTAAATAATCAAATTGAAAAAACTCCTATTTGCAAATACAAATTTGGATATAAAGGATACATAAGTATATTTCGTACTAGCTTATTAGCCCTTCTTTGTATTTGAATTTGTGCTTTTATATCAGTCTTTTTGATTTCATATTTATTTTAAAATAATTCTCACTTCTAATATTTAATATTTATTCTTAATATTTTCTGTATTGTGCACAAGGCCATAAAGAAGATTTTAAGTCTAATTTTTAAGTCCTTGGTCCTCATTTTATTTATTTTGCAAATTGTTTCCTCTTTTCAATAAACTTGATCATTGCTGTTAATATGCTTTAATACATTTTATTTTAAATTTTGTTTTTATAGTATATTTATATAATAAATGAATGACCAATAAAGAGGAAATAGAACTAAAATATTTAAATAAGAATAAAGTTAAAAACTCGAAAATTTAAATTAACTTAATACACTAGCTTACTTAATCATTGCGCAAAGAGTGTCTATTGTTTTCTTTTTTATTATCTTCAATCTGTTTGTATAGTTATTTCTATAATACACAAGCAAATATTCTATTCCAAAAACAGAAAATTCTCAGCAATAAGAAGAAAGAAATTATAATATGATTATATTATTGTATGAATTTCATTTGCATTTAGTTTGTAATCTTTGTGGTAGACAAAGCTTTGAAACGCAGTTTGATAACATGACCTGTATATTTTTATTTCAGGAAGTGGCAGTTAAGTTGGAAAATATGCGAGCCCGGCATCCGCAGCTTTTATATGAATCAAAGCTGTACAAAATATTACATGGTGGCATAGGAATACCACACATACGTTGGTAATTAGCACATTCAATATATTCTTTCTTTCTTTTTTTATCTGTTTTATATTTAAAATATTTTATTCAGATGATTTTTATGATGGCATAGAATAATAAAAAATTCTTGATGTAATAGTATTGAATTATTAATCAAAATATATGCGAGTCAGACAACTGATAAAAATCTTTCTTGTGTTAGGTATGGACAGGAACGCGAATATAACGTTCTTGTCATGGATCTTCTTGGACCATCTCTCGAAGACCTTTTCACTTTTTGTTCAAGAAGGTTCACAATTAAAACAGTTCTAATGTTGGCAGACCAAATGATTGGTAGGATTGAATATGTTCACTGCAAACACTTCATCCACAGAGATATAAAGCCAGATAATTTTTTAATGGGGATTGGACGACATTGTAACAAGGTATACATTTTGATTTGGAGATTACTTCTTTGCAATATATCGGAGAATTAAATTCTATGTAATTCTCTAAATTATAAAATGATTATTTCAGCTGTTCCTCATCGATTTTGGATTGGCTAAAAAGTATAGGGATAGTCGTACGAGACTGCATATAATATATCGCGAAGATAAAAATTTAACGGGTACTGCAAGGTATGCTTCTATTAATGCACACCTTGGAATTGAACAGAGTCGTCGCGATGACATGGAATCACTCGGCTACGTTCTTATGTATTTTAATCGCGGATCATTACCTTGGCAAGGTCTCAAAGCTGCAACGAAGAAGCAGAAATACGAAAAAATTAGTGAGAAAAAATGTCTACGCCAGTAGAAGTCTTGTGCAAGGTATGTCGAAGAATCTGTTTATAATCTTTTGGCGTTTTTATTTTGTATGTATATTTATTACAACGAATATTATGGGTTTTTTCTTTTTTTCAGGGATTTCCCGCCGAATTTGCAATGTATTTGAATTATACGCGGGGTTTACGTTTCGAAGAAAGCCCCGATTATATGTATCTGCGCCAACTTTTCCGCATACTTTTCCGTACATTGAACCATCAATATGATTTTACATTTGATTGGACAATGTTGAAGCAAAAAGTAGCAAGTGGTACTGTTGGTAGCGGAGTATCAGCAGCTGGACCAGGTCTCTCTCAAGGTGCTCAAGGTGCTCAAGGGCAAGGACAAGGTCAAGGTCAAGCACCTACTCAGGCCAATGCTCAATCAGGTGCAATTTAATTTATTGCAATGTTAAATTAATTTTTAAAATCAATGTTTTATAGCATGTTTGTATATAGTTTGCAACTTCTCTTATTTTACACGCATCTCATGTTATTTTAAGCATAACAATCATGGGATTAATTGAAACTTCACAAATTAATACCTTTTTTTAACATTATTACTTTTAACATTTAAAATTTGCCTCTTTTAGTCATGTAAGTTATCGTTTTTAACAGCAAATTTCAAGCTTAAAAGATGGTTGGAGCCCTCCACAAAAATCAACAATGTCTCAAAATGATACAAATCATTCTTCCAAGAAGCAATAATCCAGAGGTTCCTTAAATTCTTTTTCCTTCTTTCCTGATGCAACAACGTGTCACAAAATTTCGTGGGGAAAATATTTTCTCTACTACTTACTAATGATAAACAATTGAGACTAATGGATATATAAGTATGCTTATATATTAATTAACATGTAATTAACAATTCTATACGTCATGTGATATCGAATGAAACTTATGTCAAATCTTGTCTGTTATACAAAAAATTTTTAATCAATATTGATTGAGAATATTTTTGGGTATTAATTTGTATTTATAGATACTTTTCATACATGTAATTTTATACATAATTCATTGAACACAATTCATTTTTATATATTATTTGAATAGAATGTAATACAATATATTGTTTTATTAATTATAGATTAATATTGAAATATTTTTTTTTATTTGTGAAATTATTGAATGGTTTGAAATATGATTTATCCAAACTTATTATATTAAGTATCCTTCGTTATCCTTTGGTTTTACAATTAACTTAAGAGTTTAATGTATTATTTTTCTGTCATGAACTTTTTATTGGAAAGTACCTAAAAATTAATCTTTGCATATCTCTTTGTCATATCACATTAGAGATAGACAAAATTGCATTAATATAACGAAAGAATTATATTTGTATTATCTATAAGCACTATATTACTAATCATACTTAATATAATTATTATTTTTTGTAAATCAATTCGTATTTCAAAATTCTTCGTTTCTATTTGTTTCAGGAGCACGCTAAGACTATAACTCCTCATTGTAGCAACAGTCTTGATCGCGATCACTAAAGTGTTTCAAACGAGGTACCGAACTTCAACAAAAAAATCTCATTCAGAGAGTCATATCAGTCAACACTCTAATTTCGCAATGAGAGAACGCAATTATGCGATTACAAATGCAGCATTTGCGACAAGAAGAGCTAATGGTACGTCGCATAATTACTTGAGCTATACGAGATATTTCTTGCGTAACATTGGCAACTTAGAGTTTCGGTTGATTGAACTCTTTGGATTTAGAGTGTGAGTGAGACCAGTCAACCAGAAAATGGCTTGTTCTTATTTTGTTATTACGTATTTAATTTACCGTTGGTAATCATTGAAAAATAAAGATTTTGAGATGTCCCGAAAAAAAGATCTTTCTAAAGAGAGTGCACGTGATACTGTACTTGAAAATAGAGCGGGTGATTAAATCACAAAATCGTTATCATAATTTTCATGGAGAGAAAGAGAGAACACATCCAATCGATTCTCGGAATCTGTGGAGCCGTGTCTCGTGAAAAATTTTATATCTAAAAATAGAAAGTTTTTTTTTTTTTCGTACGAGTTGTACTGTTGGGCGAACCGACATCTTGCTTCCTAAATTTCGTTTTGTCTTCAATATATAGCGAGCATACTAGCGTATGTAGAATGTTGAGAAAGTGTTAATATTTTTCTTATCAAAGATGGTGTGTCGATAGTATCAAAGATATCAGGTAGCATCTTTGATACATTTGACTGGAATAACTTTTTTTTATATAATAAAGACACAGTGATGTCTCCCTCCCCTCGTATAATATTGAGAGATTATAATAAAGATACCTTAATGTTAAGGCAAACACAATCTAACTTTTAAGTATGTACCGAATACTATATCGAGTAACGAATCTTACTCCATCGAGAAACGAACAAACAATTAACGATTCTGTCATAGAAAAATATCCCTCGAATTCATACTCTCTTTCTGTCTGTGAATATGTTTACCATGAATTATACTGACAATGAAGCATACAATTGTCGCTGACGAGAAAACAACAAACTTTGCAAATATATACAGCGGGAAATAGTTACAGGCTCACTTTTATCTAGATAATATATATAAAAGCGTTATCTCTCGTTCGAAAAAGTATTCCTGTAACTGAGGCTCTCCAACTGGACAACAATTCTTCCGCATATATATATATATATATATATATATGTGTATGTATATGTATATATATATATATATATATATATAGTTTTAAATAGCAGACTGTGCAGTAGCTGTTTCATATTGCTTCAAGATTAAGTTTGATATTTTGTATACACACATTAAAAGACTTCATTATTGCTTCATGACCAACAAGCGGATATTCTTCGTATATATACACATACACGCCGAAAGAAAAGTTTCGAACAGTTAAAATACCGACATTGACGATCAGTAGGGAACTCTTTATCGTTTCTATCTCATTTAAGATCTTAGATTGCATTAATTAGCTGCTAAACTCTTCACGTTCATATTCTGCAAATTAGTTACAGAAACAAATTGTTTTACGATCATCACATACTTTTAACGAATAATACTAGACGTGTTATCACACGTCCCCATCGTGGAAGGTCACTATCAGTCGTCCGGTCAGCCTTAAGTACGAACTGCGAAGATGAATTCAATCCAAGTCTTAAAGCTTATTATATCTAAAGAAAAAAACGGATTACACGCTGCGTCTGGCGGACAGTTCTTTTTTTTTTTTTCGAGAACATGAAAAGATATATAATAACCATCTTCGATTTATGAATGCGTGGTTTAATTATTATTATCGAAGAGAATAAATGAAAGTGTAAAAGTGATCACCATGCTGTGAGAGTGAATGGGCGAATAAGTTAACGAAATAACTAATGATATATGCACTTAATTAAATACTATCTGCTGTGTGTATGTGCGTATGTATATACACATATAATATATATATCACAAAATGTATATATGTATATACATATACGCATAGCATGTCTGTATGTATAATAAAATTGTGACAGTATAATTAAGACATACCTTATTTCATAAATATTTGAGGAATACATCAACGGTTTACTGCTCCTTTTATCTCTATAAATAAAAAAAACAAACTGGAATATTGTACTATAAATATTTCTGTTTCATCAAAAAAATGTGTGTTAATCTTAGTAATAATTTATGATTGACTGTTGCGTATGACACACACACACACACACACACACACACACACACACACACACACACACACATATATATATATATATATATATATAGCAACAGTGAAAGTGTATATGATGTTTGGTCAAGGTAAATGGCGTGGAAATGCTCTATAAAGACCACGCTTTCTATTGTTGTGATACCATCACCGTTTAGGGTGTATATTTACAAAGAACACACTTATGTAAATATTTTTAGACCATATATTTGACAATTCTTAAAGACATATATATATAAATAATACGGAAAAAAGCCACAGAGGCACATGATTTCTCTTCTGAATTGTTAATACTAAATATAACATTGCGTTTATAAACGTGAACGAACACTGGAGAGAGAGCCTCCCAGTCGCGATGCACCAGTCATCGCGCTGTAGCCCATCAGAAATAAATAAACATTGCACAAGTGCAAATTATGAATTACTAGATTTGCCCTCTGTACCCGTTTCACATCGATACAAAAAAATACAAGCACGAATTCTTTATCCAAAAGCAACAATTAATAGAGTTTCTTCATAACGACATGTATAATTATTTTTTTTTTTACGGAGCAAGATGCTGTATAAAATATTGCTACTATGAAAAAATGATTAGAAAAAGATAATCTCTTGTATACAATATGTCCTAAGGTTCCTTGGTACTTGCCGCGTTCATGTTAGATTATGACGTCAGAAGCGAGAAAATATATGCTGAAAATTTTTGCGTGTCATTTTTAGATAAAAAGATATTTTGATGAAACACAACTTCAGATGGCTTTAGAAACTATTTTCCTTTGACAATCAATCAACAACTGTAAAATGATCGTGATATCAGATTTTGTCATGCAGAATGACTGCGCATATTAAAGTCATTTTTACAGCTGTTTTGATTGATTATAAAAGAACAAGAATAATTTTAAGAAATTATGCTAAAACCATCTGAAGTGCTGTTCATTGAAATATTTTATTTCGAAATAGCATAATTTTTAGCGTGTGTTTTCTCGCTTCTGATGTCACAATCTAACACAATGAGGACCCAGAAGCCTTAAAGACTTGTATGATCACACGTACGTTGTCACTAAGAAATAAATAACGAAGCGCGAGCATTTAATAGTACAATAGATTATGAATTTTCCTAAGTTCTTGCGGCCCTACATTGACAGAAAAGGATTTTTCCGGACCATTGTAAGGGATCTTTATTTCGGCGGCGAGTAATTTGCGCTCCTGCATCGCCGCCGCCATCTCGCGATTCGGGTACACGGCGAAATTCGCTTCTGCTCTTCCGCCTGGTGTACGTTTGATAGCCTCACGACGTACTTGGGCCTGAAGAAAAATATAATTTTAGACACCAAATAATCTAGACATTACATTAATTTGCACTCTCTGGTTTATCGTACACTTACAGCTAATTCGTCAGCTCGTGCCTTCAGCTGTGTGATATTCTTTCGTCGTTCCAATAAATAATGATAAGACATTTCGGGCACCTTGCGTCGCAGATCGGGAACTGTCGGATAAGCTAAAGTTTTCTCTACATCCTGAAATGTGTAAATAAATATATATATGAGAAAAAATATTTTGATGTAAAATAATAATTGTGAGCTGTCGATTAATATTGGACGATTACCTTAACGAGATCGGTCGTCTTCTTTCGCAATTCTTGAATCGTTGAATCCAGAGATTTCAGATTTGTCGGCGACGACAATGGTTCCAAGTTATCTAACTTTTGTCGTAAAACGTCGCACAATATCTTCTTCTTCTGCTGGTGCTCGTTATTCAAGGCTTCCTTAAGAGCGTGTATTTCTTGTACATAATATTTGTTATCTAAAGTGCTCGTTATCGAAGTGCTTCCTGTCATACTGTCAGCACCGCCGGACACTGATATCGTTTTCTTGCCGATTGATTTCAACTTTTCCTTTAATTGTCCTTTCTCTGTTTCCAGGCTGTCGATGTCGGTTTGAAGATGATCCATTGTTTCTTCGAATTCTTTTTCCTATTATCAAGAAAATACGATACTTAAAAAAATTTTGTCAAAAGGTATACATTACAATTTGTTAAAAAGAATAAATATACCTTGCGTTTCAATTGATTTTGCGCTTCTTCTAATTTTCTCTTCAACTTCTCGACATTCATCTCATGTTCGTGCTGTTGCGTTGCGAAACGTTTTTCCGCCAACTCCTTTCGCAGCGTCATCTCGGACAATTCTTCTTGTTTCTCCCGTAGAGCTAATCTTGCTTCGCGTATATCGCTATCCCTTGCTTCGAGTTTTCTAACGTAAAAATATCAAAGAATTATAAAACGATCTTTCGCAATAAATATAAACAATGTAGAAGATGTAAATACCTGCTAAGTATTTTCGTTTCTTCTGCCTCTTTTCTCACTGCACTCGCTCTAGACACAATTGGCATTATTGACTCACTGTCCTTAGATTGTTGCTGACTATGTGTTTGTCCACTTATAGCCAGTTCATTTTCACATTCGGCCATTTTTTGCGCGAGATTTGCTGCTAATTGCTGTATTACCGTCAAGCTAGCCTTGAGAGTGGCCACAGGTCCCAGATCTTCCGTATCGTACACCCTTTCGCTGGACGTCGCGGCCATCTCCTTCAACTTGTCAGCGGCGAGCCCAGTGTCTAAATCTGAAAGCAATTGAATTCGTCAATGTAAAAATATCGCAGAGATAAATTTTCAAGAGAGAAATCCATTTTGGATATACCTACCGCCATTTTCAATAATAGCTTGCAAAGCGTTCTTCAATAGATACTGAAGGGTCTTCATAATTTTCACGCCATGCTGATAACATGTCGAAAATTGTTCGTTGCAATCTTTATCTAATCCTAAATTGGCACCTACAGAAAATGCTGGACCAGCCTGATCCCGTGGTACTCGTCTTCTAGCCGACTTCAAGTGTTGCTGGATTACCTCGCACGTCGTTTCAATGTGTTGACAGAGCATACCTTAAGCAATAACAATATACGTCAAATACGCAACGTCTACATCAATCGAATCTAATTAATGAAATATTAACGAACCTATATCACCACTCTCTCCTTGTATCAACACCTTGATCGCCGTAGCGTCAGTAGCGACGGCGTCGCATGTGTTGCTTAAAGTTCTCGTGCCATTGACAATTAGACGCGCTTGATTGATAGTTGTGCTTTCACCAAAAAGCACGAAGAACATCGTGGCAAAGTAGGCGCAACACTTTTCAATCGCGTCCATCGGCAAATTCTCATCCAACTGATCTCGCTTGGCCAGCTCGATTAACGAATCTAAGGACTTTTCTTGCGCCGCCATTTCGGGATAAGCCGCGCCCACTTTAAGTAACATTTCAGGGTTACACGAGTTCAAGGCCGATTCGAAGCAGCTCAGAGTCGTTTGTAAAGCGTACATATGCGAACACAAACGAGATCTGAATGAGTACTGCGCTATCGAATGACCCCTCGCTACTGAAGCTCTGCAAGAGAGACACATGTATGTAGGACAAAAGATTTGTATGTAAGTTACGTGAAGTAAAATAATTACCTATCTATTTTCTCGATGGATCTATATTTCTCTCGAACTTGCGAAATCAATATCTCCGTTTTCTGTGTCATTCTCGGTATCAATAAGAGTGTCAATATCGCGTCGTGGTCTCCACCGCGGATCAAGAATGCCGGAGGCATAAAAGACAGCAAATAGCGCACGTGATTTCGCGCCTCCTCGGCGTCTAATCGGCGCAGCTCGAGATCGACCGCCTTGGTTTGCGCTCGGGTTTCGGCGAACGTTTTCTGGAAGTCTAATATCTCCGCGAGTTGTTGATCAGCACCTAAACGACAAGTTTAAGGTATGAACATTTTAGAAAACTAAAAGATAATTTAACAAAGTCTCGTATTATATGATCATTTTTTTCCTACTTACCTCGAACATTAGTCTTGGTGGACTCCGTCGACTGAACTCGTTGCTGCAACTGCAAACACTGTTCTTGCAATTGGTGCGTGAGTTCGCGAAACTTGGTGATGGTCAATTCGCGATCCGCGAGCGTCTCTAGCGCGGCATCTCGATGCCGTTGAGCGTCGCGCGTTGCTCCAAGAGCGAGATCCAACTCCTCGCGAAGCTCCAGCTCTAATTCTTTGGACGATTCGGCCAGTTGATCGGACATATCCTACATAAGTTATTATTCATTGTATTATTCATAATTAAATTAGATAAATATAACAAAAATAGATTTATGGTATACTATATATTTTTCTTAACGCAAAATGTATATATGAACTGCATATACCTGCAGAGCTTCCAAATCTGAGACAGCTTCTTCTAATTCGGCCACTTTCTCCTCCAGTGCCATTTTCTTCTCGCCTAGCATCTCAACCATTTCTTCGGCTCCTAATGCTGCGTCGACCTACGAGGAACGTCACGTAAAAACAAGTACATCCGATGAAATAATTACTGTAAATTATACAAGCGTTATATGATACATACTTGTTCCTGTAGATCGGCTATCTGATGTTCCATTTCTTCAACACGCGCCGACAACTTCTCCTTCGTGCGACCTAATTCTAAAATCTCAGACTTCTTCTGATCCATGTCCTTTTGCAATTTCTGGAATTCGTGTTTTTCGTGCGCCGACAAATCGCGCATTTTCACGAGAGTTTCACGCAGTCTATTATTCTGCTGTTCCAATTGCTTCACCTCGTAGTTAGAAGCCCCCGTGGCCGATCCACCGCCTGCTGCCTATTTGAGGAAATAATAATGTCATTTAAATACATGCTAAAAATATAAAAAGAAAAATATATATTAATATCACGTAAAAATTAAGTATTTTTATTATTTAGATAAAGAATTATACCCTCTCGGACATTTCTGTGCGTAATATTTCCAGATCTAATGTTTGTTCCTCCAACTTTTCCTTGAGCTGCTCTAATTCGATTTGAAGGGTTTCAGCCTTTTCTTCTGCCATTTCTTTGTCTAACGTAGCCATTTCCACTGTCTCTGCAAGATCCGCCATTTCTTCCTGAAATTGTTCTCTCGCCGCATGAGCTTCTCTAGTTTCTTGTCGAGCTCGTTGAAGTTCCCTCTGAAGACTTGCCTTTGATAATACAATATAATACAAGTAAAACATTTGAAACATTTACTTTTAAAATTAAAAAGATAAATTCATTTTAATTAGAAAGATTTTGAAGGAAAAAAATATAATATTGTACACCATATATATAAATTGTGTGCCACTCACTTGACTTTCCATGACTTTAGCTTTGAATTCAAGAAGTTGTTCAACTTGAAGTTTTGTTTTTCGAAATCTTTCATCCGCTCCTTGTCTTGCATTCGTTTTACACGCAACGTTTCTACTTTCTCAGTAAGATCACGTACCTATAAAATATCACACTTAAATTAAATTAAATATCTATATATGTAATAATTAAGTTATCTATATAGGTAATAATTTTATACAGAGAACAGTAACAGTAAGAGGATAATTAATAAGATGTGCGGTAAACAGGATCAATTAAGAGCCAGGAGTGGTTATTAATACACAAAACACATAATGATATAAATTTAATCGTTTATTCGTATACGTTTCGATCCTACGTTTCGGACCATCTTCAGCATTTAGATAAAACAATATCAGCAAGCAAATTATCGCAGGTAACGATATTAATCAAGACCATTGGTCTTGATTACCGTTGCCGCAGTATGAGAGTGCTTATTCCCAACAATATCGTTTCGTTGGACACCGGAATAAAATACTGATATTGTTTTATCTAAATGCTGAAGATGGTCCGAACGTAGGATCGAAACGTACAAATAAACGATTCAATTTATCATTACGTGTTTTGCGTATTAATAACCACATCTGGCTCTTAATTGCCCTGTTTACCGCACATCTTAATAATTTTATATTTATATAATTCGTAAAAATATTAGAAAAATTTTTAGAGTGAGTGAGTGAGAGAAATTTTAATTTACCTGAGATTTCAAGTTATCATTTTCTTGTACAAGTTGTAAATGTGATAATTTCTCTTCCACTAGATTCGCAGCCGCTGCCGAACCTGCCATCACTTGACCGGGTACGAATTGTGGTTTCAACGTTTCTACAAAACCTGTCTGAATTACAGAAAAGAGAGAATAAGCTATATATCGAGTTTTGTACCGTTGGGTGTTCTTTTTATTATCGCATGAAAGAATTGCACATCGCCAAAGAGTTTCTTCAAGATCCTCTGAACCTGCGTACCTGTGCCAACTTTATGAAACGCATATATACACGGTAATAACATAAATGCGGCATATGGATGGCGCAAAAAAAGATAATAAAAAAAGAGATAATTATTCTCAAAATGCGGCAATGAAAAAAACACCCCACATTTCCTATGTAAGAAATATATATGTAATTTTATACATTGTTTCTGTATTTACATTTGAGTAGAATTAGTTTGTCTTTTTTTAATGGTGATTAATGATGAGAGATTAGTTGTGACAGCAAACACCAACAAGCTACACCGAATACTCTATTAGTACTAACAAATGTATAGGAAGATCCACAGCTGATGAATTGAATCGTGTGTTGTATGAAACATTTACATGGGATATACCAAAGTCAGAGCTATTTCTCATTCATTTCATCGATTCTATTTTATGTATTACGTCCTAACGATTGGCACATGTATCGCTTGCATTCCCGTTCCAGGAAAATTAATTCTTAACAATATATATAGTTCTGAGAAAGTTATTAATCAGGCAAAGTTATACCTTTGTATTATGATGCTGTTTAAAAAAAATTTACATACTAAGTAAGTGTTAGTGTTATTGTTCTTGCAACACATATATAGAAGATATTCAATTCCTAACTGCAGAAGGGAGGGTAACACACGACATGATGCTGAATGCCCCGTTCCCACTATAAATCATAAACTATCCAAATATCATAGAACTCAGTTAATGAAGCTGATGTTAAACACAATAATGCTGGAAAGATGTGGCAAAGAATAAATACGAAAACCAAGTCTGTAATCCACTAAGAAGGGCGTACCTGTTGCAAAGGTGCAATGACGTTAATTTGTTACTAAAAAAATTTGTTATAATGCTTTATGATGGATAAACAGCTAATATGAGAAAGAACAAGATATTAGAGAGGTGATGTATATATTAAAAAATTGAGATATTACAATTAATGAATATTAATTACATTATTGTGATCATCTTGGGCCTTTGGCTTTTTGCCGGGAGGCGAGCTCGTGCTAGGGGACTTCTGAAACACGTACGTGCATTCCCATATGAATCATTCTGTGTCAACGGAATCCTCTGACTTGCTTTCGCACAAATTTTTCAGTCTTTTTTTTCTCTTTTTTCTTTCTTAGAATTTGCCACCTATAATTCTACCTCACATATATTTCCAAGCACACTTTCCGGTCATGACGAGATATGTATATACGTGCACAACTGCATTTGACTGATCTATCACCGGGTCACAGAATAGAATTCTTTGCACATGAATATAAGAAACATACAAATAATCGAAAAACCTAGAGACCTTTTAAAATGTCAGAATCTGTTTGTTAGTTAAAAACAATAAAGAAGTATATCATAAAAAATATAACAGATAATTTGTTCATAAGAATTATACTACTTATTATATATACATCATGCTTTGAATCTTTTTGGATAATGTTCCTTTTTATAACAGATTTTTTGCTCTTACAATTCAACACAAAAATAATCTACAGTATAAATAGTCTTACTTGTTATCGTAGCATACAGTATAGTGTCTTACCTCAATAAATGAGGCACGCTTTGAAGTTGAAGTTGGTGCTGGAATTGAAGATTCGCCGCCGTCTCTACGTTCATGTTGTGATCCAGTTAGACTTTCTGTACTTGGGGCACTTAATAATGTTCTACTTCCGGTCAAGGATAATCGAGAACTGTAAAAAATAATAAAAAATATTTTCACAATATACATCATAAATTAATGTTTTTTAATTCTATATATATAGGCTATATATATAGGCTGACTGCAAATTGTCGAATAGAAAGTCGAACTTACATTACTGATATTAAAATAAAGAAGCAAAAATAATAAAAAGTTGCACTTAAAATAACTAAATCAATAAATATTTTGTGATAATTTTCACACAAATTATATGTCTACGAAAAATTTTGGAACTTTACAGAAAACATATTTAGAGCAAAACATATCTTACAAAAATGCAATAAATTGGCAAATAAATTCAATCATTTATTTCATTCAGCAATGAAATTTTATGTCATAATGATAAAAATGCAACAAAAAAAGTATTTGCTAACTGAAAATAATTACCAAATTTTGGAATGAAAATGTGTAAAAGCTCCAAAAGAGGCATAATGGCAAGTTGCTTGTGTTTTAAAGCTGCAAAATACTTTAGATGCTCAGTGATAGAATGCAGTTGAAATTTTGAAATACATCATCGTAAGAAACAATTGTGGATTTTCAAGATATAAGCACAGTAGCGATAAAAAATACACACTGCTGACATATGCTAAAATTTTTGTTTACAATGATCTTACCCAGAAAGCTTGTCAAATTGTTGACGAGTAACATTCGCAGGAGATGTTTTTCTCCGTACACTTTTATGAGCAGCATATACATTTTAAAATTTATTAATTATATACTCGTCTAATTTATTTTAATTTATATAAAAATATTAAAAATTTTTAAGCGCACGGAGAAAGAAAATAATCTTTTTTTTAACCTTTGACATTATTATATAATGTAAAACTTACGCTGTAGGCTCATTCCTTCGACGCATACTATTGCTAGCATGAAAATTATAGTATAAAGATTCCGTAAATTTTATTCAGTTAGCTCAACAATGATGCCACTACTCTTAATTAAATTAATTAAATGTTACTTAATTAATTAATTGCCAATTTTAGATATTTTAGATACTTCAAATGTGCTAAAGTACTACAATACTTTTATGGCATATATATTTAATTATAGAGCTAGCATGTATGACAGCAATATTTATATTTACTGTTACATTTATTACAGAAAAATTATAATATACATTATTTGTAAGGATTAACTTTTTAGATGTAGTCAGAACTTTTTAATGTAATTGTATCTAGGAAAGCTCACCTATTTAGGCGACTCCTTGCTCTAGCAGCACTGTCATCAGGTGTTGTGGCATTGCTACCTGCCGATGACGGACTGACAGGCTCCGTTCTATTGCCAGCCTCATCCAGCAAAATAAGTTGAGTTTGGCGTGCAAACATTCCATAATTTTCAGCACACTGCGAATAGAAACAAACAATTAAAACATATCTTTTCTCTTTCATTAGCAAGTACTTTAAATAGTAAAAATAAACTTGCCATGACAACTAAATGTTTTTCCTATTTATTATATTTTGTCATTTGTGTAGGAGAAATTTAGCGAGACTTATAAAACATGATTTTGTGTATGTATATCATGTACTCACATGTGTGTATTGAACATATATATATTTCGACTTATAAAATCTCTGATAAAATAAGGAATCAGGGGAATCAATTGAATAAATATTCATTGATAATACTGATGATTAAATATCCGATTGCTGACTCGTAACTCACCCTGAAGTACATTTGACCCTTGACAGTACCGTTGTTTTTCCCTTTCGGCTCGTCGAGTATCACGCCGATCCATTTGCCAGATGCGAAGGCCGGGTGGCCGACGTAGGCTATAACACCCTGACACTCCTTCACGGGCACCTCGACGCGTTGGCCAATTTTGTATGACATCTCCGTCACTCGCGGTTCGTCCCAAACTGACACATCAGCTGTTTACTAACCTTCGCGCGCGAGATTTTCCTAGATCCACGTTTCGTTTGCCGTCTCACGCAAACAATCGTGGATGAATATTTGAAAATAATCGCCTATTAAAAAAATAAGGCCGATTATCGATAGCTATGTAGCTGCACGAGCTCCTTTAGGAAGATAAGACGCGACGTTTGTATCGTGATGTCATTGAGGTCTCACAATTGTTGCACTTCTGCTTGAACAGGTTAAGAAATCTCTCTTATCAATTCGATACAGAGAAACAAGACTAATTAATATTGCATTTCTCCCTCTTTACGTACTTGTTGCATTTTGAAAATAAATAAAGCGAATATTTAAAGTCGTTTTGACAGGAGAAGTAAGTTGTAGGAAAGTAAAGAAAATATAAAGAGAAATGACTGATATGCCATCAAATGGAAAAAAATAGATACATATTTTGATGAAAAAAGTTAATAATGAGAAAAATACAATTTCAAATCAGCAAAATCTAATATTACCCTGTGAAATCACCGATGACATTCTACCATTTTCGACGAAAGGAACCCATTTTCGGGGGATAGACGGCGCTGAAAATCGTCCTCTCCTTTTCTAAACGAAGGAAGAGTCTAGTATCCCCTATTTTTATTCGTGTACGTGTGTACAACAATTCATAATCAGGAAACTGAAGAAAACAAATTTTTGCGCAAGTGAACGTAACAATGGCTAATCACTACGAGGTTCCAAATTGGTATGTTTATTGATCGATCAATTTTTTGACGAAGGATTTGCATGTTTACGCAATCACGCGTCCCCGAGTTTTGTCGCTATGCAAAAAGATAGGGACGTTCAACATTACCTTACTTATGCACTATATCCCTTTCTAGGGCAGGAAAGCCACCAGTTGGGCTGCATCTGGACGTACTGAAGAATGACAAGTTGATACAGGTAAAACATGTGACATTTATTGCAACAATTTGAATAACATGTCACTTCTTCAGAGTTCTGTCATGTCTTAAACTACTGATACATATATAAAACATAAATATAACTTTACAGAAACTTATGGTAGATGAAAAGAAATGTTATTTATTTGGACGTAACACACAGTTGAATGATTTTTGCATTGATCATGCATCTTGCTCTCGGGTTCATGCAGCTCTTGTTTACCACAAACATCTCAATCGGGCATTTTTAGTCGATCTGGGAAGCAGTGAGTATACTTTATATCAGCATCAATGTGCAATTTTTTTCTAACAAAAAACCAATGTTTAAACAAAGATATTGTTATTATTATGAATAACTATTATAAAGAGAGTTTGATATATTTTCTTGCATGAAGATTTTCCAATAATGTTTTCAGCACATGGTACCTTTATTGGAAACTTACGTTTAGAAGGTCACAAACCGACCCAGTTACCAATTGACAGTACATTTCACTTTGGAGCATCCACTCGGTATTATATAATTAGAGAAAGACCTCAGACTAGTGCTAGACCCATCATCGAAGAACTGGAGAAATTATCTGAAGATAATGATGCCGGTGGTTTATTAGGTCTACCAGAAACAGAAACAGAATTAGATGTATGTATCAAAAAGGCAGACGTATAGTAAATTTTTATTTCAAACTTTTTTACTAAAATATATGATTCAAATATAATTCACTCTTTCTTTTTTTTTAGAATCTGACAGAATTTAATACAGCTCATAATCGACGAATTTCAATGCTTGGAATAACAGATGATGAAATGCACAAACCAACACGCAAACGGAAAAAAAAGGGAATCACCTTCAACGACGACGAAGAGGTGATTAACCCGGAAGACGTCGATCCGTCAGTCGGGAGATTTCGTAATCTTATACAAACGACAGTTGTTCCTAGCAAGGTATGCGTAATAATTTTGCACGATTATTATAAGAAATGAAACAAGGCGTGTAGTTATAAAATGGATTTTTTTTATCACAGAGAATGCGTATGGAAGGAGGTCTCATATCATTATTGGAAGATCACAATCCTCTGAAGCTTATGCAACCTACGTCTACCACCCCTCAGCTCTACCACGATCTACCTCCCGAACAGTTCACACCGTCCTCGATGTCAATGAATCCATTTTCTGCAGCTCTCACGTCACTGACGTCACGGCTCGGTATCGCATTACCCAATCCGGCGCCCGAGGTGGAGATGACTCCAAATCAAGTACAGGCAGAAGTGCCGCATCATGTAGAGGAGCATCTGCCGAGTTCGACGGAACCACGGACGATGGAGCCGAAGAAAAAGAAGTACGCCAAAGAGGCATGGCCTGGGAAAAAACCCATACCAACGCTTCTTGTATAATAAAAAGAAAATTACGGTTTGTACACAATTATTGTTTTATCATTGATTTTCTGAGAGAACTATCAATCTCACTTACAGAGAAATTGTTCATATGAAATTGTTCATATACATTAATGGATTTTCATATGACTTTCTGTCAAGTTTGTTGTATTTTTGGCGATAATGACATCTTGTCCTGTATCGCCAATCATGTAAAAATATTGCAAAAAGACTAACTTTATTAAAATATTATTTAATATAATATTGCCCATTATCTTGCTTTAGCTTTATAGTATAAGTTATATGACAAATATCATTTAAAAGCGAATATGTAAAAAAAATTTTATTTGATGTAAAGAACACAAACTTGTGTAATCGAAATTGTTCTATTGTTACAATGATTTATTAAAACTGACGACAATGTTCAGAGCATTCTAAAGTTTTCATATGATATAATATGATATGTGACTTTAGAGCAGCGTATAATGAGAGTGATAATATTAAGCTCTGTATTTAAGTTTTATGAATTAAGTTCTCTAAGTATATTTATATTCTATTTACTTCTAATGCGATAGCGACTATCGATAGGAATAAATTGTTTAGTGTTTAAATATTTTTGTTATTGAAATATGATTAAGAAATTATATTTAGCCTTAGCATTGTCGTCATCCTTGAAACAATTAAGAAACAATTTAATAATTATTGAATAGCATTATCATTATGTAATATATTACATTTGTGTGAGACTTCAATATATTATTTCCTGTATACTATTATTGCTTCAAGTGCAATGAATTTGATGTAAATAAGTATAAAAAAATTTCGTTAACATACTTTTATAAATATATAAATACCAAAAAAGAAGTTAATAAAAGAACAAATGTTGTGTATGTGTTATGCAGATATATATTATTTTGATTCGCTAAAAGTTTTTTGGTACAAAATATGATTGTTCACACGTTCGCTCCATATGTACTTTTTCTACAATAGATGAAACATTGACTTGTAGAGTGCAGATATATATACATATATAAATATGTATATATATTTTGTATGTTACAAGAACTTATACAAAAAATACCCGTCTATAAAAATAAAAGTATGCGCGGTGACAATTATATATATACGAAAATAAACGAAATATTTCTCTCCGCACAAAAATTTTACGTAAGGAATAATGTGACATTTTTCTATGTGATAATTTTCGCTTAGTCGTCAGGCAGCGAAAAAAAATATACGTGCCGGCTTATTGAAAAATTCTCCAAAAGTGCGCGCATTAATATTCCAATGGTGTGTTCGGCGTACATGGCGATTCGAGAGCGACTTCCTCATAGTCTCTTTCAAGTGCTGCGAGATCCTCGCGCGCCTCCGCAAATTCGAGTTCCTCCATACCTTCTCCGACGTACCAGTGAACAAACGCCCGCTTGTTGTACATTAAGTCGAATTTGTGATTAAGCTTAGCCCATGCTTCTTCTATAGCAGTCGTATTGGATAGCATGGAGACTGCTCGCTGAACCTGTGCGTGTATAATAATTTTAATATTTTACATAACATAACTATATTATGTCAAAAATTTATGAATTATAAATTCAAAATTCTATAATTATAACTCTCTCTCTTTGAATATAGTCTAGATTTTTAAGAAATATATTTAATACTTTAATATATTTTTTTTAAACTAATTAGCGAATTTATATTTTAAATTAAAGGGATCTTCTCTTCCCGAGAATGTTTAGAATTGGTAAATACCTTCGCGAGATCGCCACCTGGGACAGCTGTAGGCGGCTGATAATTGATTCCAACTTTGAAACCCGTGGGACACCAGTCAACAAAGCGGATGCAACTCTTGCCCTTCATAGCGGCGATCGCCGCGTTGACGTCCTTAGGTACAACATCACCACGATACAGGAGGCAGCAGGCCATGTATTTGCCCTCGCGGGGATCGCACTTGACCATCTGATTATTGGCCTCGAAACATTCAGAAGTGATCTCCGCGACCGACATACCCTCGTGATACGCCTTTTCGGCCGACACCACCGGAGCATAGGTCGCCAGGGGAAAGTGTATGCGGGGATAGGGCACCAGATTCGTCTGGAACTCGGTCAGGTCGACGTTCAGGGCACCGTCGAATCTCAAGGATGCGGTGATGGACGACACAACTTGGCTGATCAGCCGGTTCAAGTTCGCGTACAAAGGTCGCTCAATGCCAAGCTTACGCCGACAAATGTCATAGATCGCCTCGTTGTCCACCATGAAGGCGCAATCGGAATGATTCATTGTCGTATGCGTCGTTAATACCGCATTATAAGGCTCCACTACAGCCGTAGATACCTGAAATATAATTTTTAAAAAATTATATTACATATATTAATAAGTCTTTATTTTGTAAATTTACGAATTTCAAAATTAGAGATTTTGGGTTCACATTGATGTCTGCAATTCCCATCTATAATTTATTTTATTGTCATCTCTATTCATTTTAATTCTCTTAAGAGAAATATGAAATTAGAAAAAAGATAATATTTTAAAACCAATTTTAATAATTTTAATTTAAGTGTCTCATGTGAGAGAGCGATTATAAAGTTAAAGAAATTCTTTCGCAAGAATAAATAAAATAATTGTTCTGAACACTCACTTGCGGCGCCGGATATATGACAAATTCTAACTTGCTCTTCTTGCCATAGTCATCGGACAGCTTCTCCATAAGCAAGGATGTGAAACCCGATCCTGTACCGCCTCCGAACGAATGAAAGACGAAGAAGCCTTGCAGACCGGTACACTGATCGGTCAATCTGCGTATTCTGTCCATCACCGATTCGATCACCTCGCTCCCGATGGAATAATGACCGCGGGCATAATTATTTGCGGCATCCTCCTTACCAGTAATTAATTGTTCCGGGTGGTACAATTGTTTGTATGTTCCCATTCGAATTTCATCTAGAAATGTAGCAATTTTCAAGATGTAAAAATTCATATATGTAAAATAGATATACATTATATATATGTATATTCATTTTACATATATTGATAGTATATTCAATTTTTTTTAAATTTATTATAATATACGAATATATATATATATTTTTATTTATTAATATAATAATATTATAAACGATAATATTGATAATATCATATTGTATAATATTATTAATATTATATTTATTTTATTACTATATTTTATATATTATATATTGTAATAAATAGAGAGCTGTCGCACTTAGTTATCCCAATATTTACAATGTTATCAAATACTGACCGACAACAGTTGGCTCCAGATCAACCATCACGGCGCGCGGTACCATCTTGCCGGAACTCGTCTCGTTGAAGAAGGTGTTGAAGCAATCATTTGTACCGGAGACTTTGTCAGACGGCATAGTTCCATCTGGCTGGATCCCGTGTTCCAGACAATACAACTCCCAGCAGGAGTTACCCATCTGGACGCCCGCTTGGCCCACGTGCATTGATATACACTCGCGCTAAATGAAAAACATGTATTTTCATTGACTATAAAAGCTTGACAATATACGACACGAGATACATTTCTACTTTTTATTATTTAGAATTATCCAGAAAATGTAATTTTATCTTCTTATACCATTTTTGATATGTTTTCGAATGAATTTCTCTTGATGTTACACAGCAAAAAATTTAGATAAATCGTCAAATCGAAATTTTAATTAGGTCTTCAATTTAAACACGACAAATTTAGAAGCCGGCCATGAGCTGCTCTAGAAAAAAACACTGTGGCAATTTATATTTTTATTGTCCTAGAAACCATTATGATTGAATTTCAGAGGAATCAAAATTTTATATTTTTTTTTCTAGAGAGCATGAAGTTGTAAGTATACCGAATGATTAAGTTTAGACCACTGTAAAAAAAGATATAAAATTATATAAGTAATCAGTATAAATATTTTTAATGTAATTTTACATATTTTTACAGTATATTATGCTTTTTTAAAAAAAAGCACTTTCACACACAAAATCCTCGATATTGAATGCAAATAATTTAAATAAAAGAAACGTTTTTCAGATGTTAAATATAATATGGAAGCATATATGTATTGTTATGTAATATTATGCAAAGCTTTACGCGACATTTTAACCCCAATTTGTTTTGCATTTTGATATATTTTTAATCGAAAATTACTTTAGTTAAATGCAGCGAAAATTGTTAAATTTTAAATTTATAATTTTGTCGCTTTACACAAAATTTATTTATAGAAGATTTGGGTATCCGAATAATTGAAGAACCCGCCCTTTTTTCTATCCTTTAAACGCCTTGTAAAGCATACTATATATGTATATTCTCATTACTATGCGTCAGGTATCCGTGGCAACAAAGCACGCTTGGTGCAATACTTGCACCATTTGGAGCCAAAAAGTGGCAGTAGTTAATATCTCTAAGATAGAACAAAATGTCGAGCAAATAATGTGGCTGAAGTTGAAAAATATTGTTTCGGAGCAACAATATTTGCTTCCCCCTTTGTATAATTGCATATACAATTGTGCAGTTTCTTCTAAAAATCAATTTCCTAAGACCAATTGTACTAATTATAGCTTTTTTACACAATCAATTTACGTAGCATTAATTGTCACTGCCCAGTGTGATTTTATAAAAGTGATATGTATAATCAATTCGTTAATCAAGATTTTTCAATCAGGTAGAACAAAAATTTTGCGAAGCAAGAGATGTGGATAATTAGCTTAAATAAATATTGAAAATGCAGTCTAGAGTAATTAATAAGGATTTCAACATAATCCCAAGAACGATAAAAGAAAATTGTTAAATAAGTGCTGATTGAGAAGAAAGAATCTAATTAAGGAAATCTCGGCACAATCAGCGAGACATGGATACTAATTACAGAGCAAACATCGCAAAGTGGCTGCCACTTTCCGATGGCCTCCTCGATCAATGGCTCGTCGACGCTTCTCTTTTGGATGAGAAACTGGGAAAGCTTGCAGGATGCATAGCTTTAATCATCGAGGACTTCGCAGAGGCTCGAATTTGCGAACAGGAGGTTCGAATTGTTTTTGTAGCACAGAAAGATCTTATCGTCATCAATAAATATTTTGAAAGGGAATATCTATTAAAACTTAAAACGCTTATAATCGATTGTTCAATACGCTTTATAGGTATTTGAAGAAATACTAGACAGCTTGGAGGAATTAATAAGAAATTATAAATTGACATGCAATCCGAAGGAGTTAAGCACCCATCCAATATATAAATATAAAATGAATCATCTGTCAATAATATTAAAGCGCAAGCTCAATGTCGTCGCGAAATTCATCCAAGATTTAATCACTAACATAGTTGATTGTAAAAGTGAGGAGAATATAAGAATAACATTTAGGTAAAATTCAAAAATAATTTTTCTACTATATTATACTAATTATATCATCCTCTTTTTGATTGCTTTTATTTTATTTATATTATTTTGCATTTTAATATCAGAATTAATTTCCTATCGTTTTTTTTGCAAAGCTTTTATTTGCCAGGTAGATTTAACAATATTTAAAAATTCTGCAAGATGTTGACAAAATTAGCAAATTGCAGGTTGGTAAATGCTTACAACAGTATGCTCGATGTGGATCGAAATGTATCAGACTCGTCCGTCAATGTCTTTTACAATGATTGTCCATCCATGTTGGAGCCGCTGAAGAAGATCTCCGTAACCAGAATATTGCAAGCGAGTAGTTTAATTTTTAATTCGCGTTTTATTTTTAATTATAATTTTTCAATACAAAAAAATATTCGGAATTTATTTTATTGTATTTTCATAGATTATTAAATTGGATATATTTTTGTGAAACATCATGTCGAATATCGAGAAGGAAAAATTTATATCATTAATAATTTTAGATATTAGCAAAAAACAGAGCGGAGGAATGTTGTCACGAACTTATTGACTGTCTCCTTGCAAATTACGAACCTCATGAAAAAATAGAGCCATCATCTACGACGAATGACGTAGACGTTTCAGAAAACTCCAGTATCGAGATTTATCGGTTCGCGTTCATGATTACACACTTCACCTAAATATTATTATCTTATATATTATATCTAATTATTATTAGATAGATAAATAATATTTAAGCAGTATATAATTATATGTAATTTATAATCAGGTATATTTTCATTTCTCAAACTATAGTGCTCTTACGAGACATTTAACGCCGCCGATCGCAAGTGCGACATCAACATCCGAAATAGAGGCTTCCAATATCGAAAGCGTGCAGACAATCGTGAATACGCAGAACGAGCAGGTCCTTAAACTTTTAAATGTTGTGCAAGGGATCTCTCCGCGACTGCTTGGCACAGATGCTTTAAAAACTTGCAATGGTGGTACAGTTTTAATAATTTTAAAAATCATATTTTATATAGTATTTTATATACATGTTATGTAGAAATAAAATATAACAGCGACATAAATATAGAGAAAAATATGTCGACGAAATTATTGAACATTGATGCACATTATCTAGGCGAAACAAAATTAAGAAACAGCGCGATAAAAAAAGTAAAGAGCTATTATCAAGAGGTTGCATGGGGTGCACTGTCTAGTATTTTGGATCATGTGATACTGTGGTGGTCCCGAGAAGCCCTTGCGACTCATCACTGCCACGGTGCTCAGCATCTCAAGGATTGGTTGCGACAATTCATTCAAGGAAACGAAAGTAAAATAAAAAAAATTATTTTCTTATATTTGAAAATATTTTTTTTCGCGTTTTATAAGAAGATATATATTCTGCATTATATATATGTTTACTTGAAAATTTCAGTTCCACCTACAGTTAGATCAGCGCTGCAGAATTTATGCGATGCACTCGGGTACCATACGACTATCACTGCCTGGGATCAAACGTTTAGACTAGCTTACACCTCGGCTTTCGACTGCCGTTCGAAACCATCATCTACAGAGGTTGGCATTTATTTGGAAAATTTTAAATTAAATTTTAGGGAACGTTATCTTTCGATATCTCAAAAATATCTTATCGCTTAAAAATACCTTCGGGATATATTTTGGATGTCATATGCTGTGTGGGATAGAACATATAGTAATAAATGGCTTGAATTATTTATTATGATACAAATAAAAAAAAGAAAAAGAAGGATTTTCTTCTGTATATTAAATACAAAAATAGATAATAAATAATTGGCATTTTTATAGGGAACCGACACGGGCCAGATGTTTGTTGAGTTGTTTCATTTGTTGGGTACCCTCAGCAATGAATGTGAAATCGGCGGCGAGTGGGTGATAGGAGCACCTTTGATAGAATTACCATTATCAGAGCAGATCGTGGTGTTGCATAGAATGGACCATTCAGTGCACACAGTAAGATTGTGGGCTATTCAAGAGGCTAAGATTATAGCCCATACCTGGGACCTTGATGTATTTTTTCTGCTAGTCAAAGGTGACATAGTGAACTGCCTTGAAGAATTATCTTATCTCAAGGTATTCTTCTTCTTATATTTTTTTGTAATTTGTATGTAAAAAATGCATTGTCATATTTATTTTTTCGATAATTATAATTGATTTTAGCTCGCTGATCACACGAATGCATTGTCCGCGGATTCTATTAGCGTTCAAGTATATGTGTGCGCGAAGATGAGAGCGAAGATCGTCTCCGAAGTCAAGGCAAATGTCGAATTGCTTCAGGTATAATATATGTTTCGATTTCTAATGTAATAAAAAGAATCATTGTTATTTATCTAACTCTCGCTTCGCGAAAAAAGGTATTCTTTATTATATTTATATCTTAAAAAACTTCCAGATGTTTATAATACTATACAGTATATACTTTCAAACAATCATATATTATATATAATAAATCAAATTTATTAAAAGCCGAGAGACAAATAATTCCTCCTGCAAAAGATAGAATTTTTAACTCAAATCTGCTATCTAAAAGAATTGCAGACGATTTTTAATTTCTTTGTTTTTATAGATTTGTTCCGCTAAGTGCATCAACACTCTTGCTAAGATTTGTCGTGTAGTCAGCCTCGCGAATTTACACATGTGCTTTCCACAACCGAATTATTGGAGACAAAATAGCAGCGTACCTCCGGTAACTGCCAGTCTTTACGTGGAAGTTTACTTTGGTACGTTTTTTTTCCTATTTTATATTATATTTTTATATTATATTTCATATATTTTTATATTAAAGAGAGAATATTTTTATATTAAAATAGTTGTTAAAGTTTTTCACGTGAGTTATGGGTTTTATTGCCGCATATATTATTGCACCAAGCTCTTTAAAAAGATGTGTTGAGTATATATCAAAGTTACATATTATAGAAAAAGTGTTGCTACCTGTATTGGAAGTAATAGAGGACCATGAAACATCAAATATGATTCTACGAATAATGTGCGAAGCGTGGCTCGATTATATCTATCTGCATCGCATCAAGTTTAGGTAATGACTTATTTTAATAAGTGAAATTATTTTTGTGAAGCAATATAGAAACTATATATAGAAATAAAATCCATTCTCCAGCACTTGCTAAGAGAAATTAATGCAAATATTAAATTTATACATGCCCTTCTTCGTTTTATACATCTTACTAACTATAAAAATAAATTTTTAGCGAATATGGGGCGTATCAGCTATTGACGGATTTTGCACACGTATCGACATGGGTTACAGAATGTTCGATCATTTCGCAAAATGTTAGGAATCATTTGTTGAAGAACGAGGTTTTGCGGCGTTGTGAAGGAGTTGGACGACTTCTCTTGAGACATCCGGGCGAAGCTATCGCGATGCGCAAACGATTGGGTAATTTTTTGTATATAAAACTTATTTAGGATATTTACTTTCTTTTAGACGTATTTTTGATTTTTAATGAAAAATATTCTATTCCAAATATAATTGTACATATCGCGTTATACTGAAATGTTAAAGTTCTTTCACATTGTTAAGGAGACTCGTGACTATTTAAAATTTGTGATTACTTATTCTTTAATCAATGATAATAATTAAAATTTTTCATTTTTTAAAAATTGTATTAACTTTTTTACTGCTGATTTATTTTTTAGCTCGGAGAAATGAGCGCGGGTCGCCTGAATCTCCAGGTTTAGAACGTATGCCAGCCGAAATGTATGTTCCGAATCAAGAACAATGGCTTGAATTGCGTGCTCCTAAGCGAAACTACTTTTGCTGTACAGAATAAAAAAATAAATGATGAATTATTGATGTTCTATATCTGATATTACATGTTTTTCTCACAAATATTTTTAAATTACTTGAATGCACACAAGAACTTGTTATATTAAAAATATTTTTCATTAACGTGTTAATTTTAAAATTTTAACTGTGAAATATTTAAAGAAGCTCTGACTGATATAATTTATAAAAATTATTATTATCATTATCACTATTAATTTTATTAAAAGCAACTGATATATTTCTAAACAAAATTTATTTAAAAAGGAGCAAAAAGAATATGCAAAATAATATTTTACAGAATAAATTCTGTATATATTTTATACGTAACTGTATATTTATATTATATTTTTTATATTCTATATAATATATATTAACTATAATATTTTATACAAACAAATTTATTATGCAATCTTGTGCATTTGATTACTTTTTCAGTTTTTTAACAGAAAATTAACCAATCATTTGACAATATAAACTTATATTTTTGAGAAGCCCGACAGAACGGAAGCCTTTCCATGATCCGAGACAAGTATTATATTACATAGGTACGGAATACGACGAGAAAATCAACGCAATAACTGTGCACGACCACCGTTCTTAGCAGTCAAATATTGGCCGTTCATTGTCAACGTTGCACAGCTGTTATAGTAATTGATTTTAATTTTTTGACGTGGAAAACTTAAACCTTAAACAATAATTTCATGTAAAGTGAATTGTAAAAACAAAAACGTGAAGATACAAGAGAGTGTCCATATAGTATACATATGTATATAAAAAAAGCAAAATTTTAATTAATTTTATTACTTCCGAAAGTTGCATAATAAAAAAATAAGCAATGCCGTTGCATTATATATTATATGTAAAAAAAAATAAATAATTATGGAATCAATTTTATTCTATAACTTACGTTAAATTTTTTTATCGTTCATACGCGTAGTTTATAATGTCTAAAATTTTTGTCAATCTCGAGTAAGATGTGTGATCACTTGCATAAGTCTCATAGAAGTGCAGCTCGTTGTCAGAGTTGTCGCACCGCAAAATAAGAATGCGGCAAGACAACTCATGTTTCATTCCAGACTGTTGATTCTCGATTCAACACTTGATATAACCAGTCTGGTTGTCCGTGCGAACGTGCAAACAATCTCCAAGGGTTTGAAATCTTTATTAAATCCTTTTTTTTTACATACAGAAGAAGTATTCTATAAGTATCATACTTAAGTGCGTGCCTTTAAAAATTTGCAAACAACGATTCGTTAAAAATTTAAATAAATATGAAAATCATTTATTACTCTCAAATTTATCAACTTTTTGTATATTTTTTTAGTAAATAATTCGTTTCAGATAAAAAATTTATTTAATGTTTATTTAATTATATAAAGTGATTTATGTATTCGGAAGATCGAATTGTCAGGTAAGAGGAGCTTGAAAGAGCTTTGCCTATATCAATTGAGTCAGAGGTAGAAATCGATATCTGCGTGTTCTATTTTCTGTATCTGCATTTTTGTGCGATGAAAATGCGCGGTATTACGGAAAGAACGCCTTTAAGACATTTGGATTCACCCGACTACGTCGAATTTGCCAGTCTTTTGAGGACTCGAAGAACGCGAATACGACAGTTTCAATGCTGTGTTTGCGGTATCCTGATGTAAGTTTATTGTACGAGATTTTTAAACAAATTCAATAGAAATAAAAAAGCAAAGAGGCTCGTATTATGCAACACAATAAATAAAAATAATGAAAGACCAACTTACGGTCAAGCGAATAGGTGTTTAATATATTATATATTCAATTTTATTTATAAATCATGAACTTAAATTCTTACATAAACTTAGAGTTTGAACTTAAAATTATGTAAAGAATTTAAGTTCAAACTCTAAGTTTATTTAAGAATTTAAGTTCATGATTTATAAATAAAATTAAATTTTTATTATATTACACCTATTCGCTTGCTCGTAAGTTGGTCTTTCATTAAATTCAATAAAATTTTATTTTAAGATTGTATATACTTCACTGCGTCATACATATTTTATTTATACAAAATTGTATCTAGAATTTAAATGTCAAACTCGTTAAAAGAAAAAGACAGAAATTCGTAAAAGTTTAAAATAAATAAAAACTAAATAAGAAGAAATTAAGATTCAATACTATAGGATTTTTTAATTTGAGAAGCCATGTCAGTAATGAAATTTGCAAATCTAAAAATTTGATTGTACATAATAAAATTATGTGCCGAAATATTATTTACAATAAGCTATTGAACGATTATATTTTATAATCCGACTTGTCTGCGACTTTACAGAGTGGTCTTCACTATGGCTCTGGTGATATCCATCAGCTATTCCATCAGTCATACTAATTCTACCTCCGCGATCAACAACGCAACATCCTCTGGAAATTTAGGTGGTATCTTGAGAGAATCCTTATTAGGATTTGCACCTGGATCTACCTCGCACGCGTCCTTCAGCAGCACTGCTAGTGCTATAAACGAACCCAATTACATCCCGATACAAAACGCGAACATCGATACCTCGACGAAGAATCTCAGTCGACATGAATACATGCAAGGACTACGAGCTGGCGAGCTAGCGATGAAAAATCATTTGTTCGCGGATAAGATTGCCACAAAGTTGCCATCCCCATCTCCAGAATCTAGACACCGATATGCGATGAACACGCATCCTAATGTCAGTGCTCTTGCTTTGGCAGCGATAGGTGAAATCGCAGCTACAAGAACGATTGAGAATATGAGGTGAGATAGATGGATTGTCTCGTCCTATCTAAATTGTCATAAAAGATATATTATGTTATCCTCTAGTTTTTTTCTTTGAAGAGAATATTCAGAGTGAAGAATAGCTACGTTATATTTTGCCTGATTGCATAGTTGTAAATTAAAATCTTAATTTTTTTGCACGGATATGATGTAATTATTTATATTAGTAATTAAAATTAAAAATAATTAGTTTCTATAATATTTTAGATTATTATACGGAAAGAATTTTCTCTTAGAATTTACCCCGAAAATCATGGTAATCATAGGACAATATATATGATCTCTGATTAAATATTTACCACAATAAAACATTAATATGTACATATCGGACATATTTTAGATCTTATTGTGGTAGATATTAATATTTTTCTTGTGATGAATATTAATCAGAGAAATTCTTATAAAATTCTTCCAATTTGCCTCACGATTTTCAGGATAAATTCTCAGAGAAAATTCTTTTCGTGTAATAATCTAAAATATTATAGAAACTAATTCTTTCTGTGTATAATAAGAAGATTTATAAATGTTTTTTTTCAAGATCCACTAAAGATGAATCTTCGGCGATCGGTACTTTTTTCGAGAGCGGCTGGGTGCCAAAGAGTGTATGCAAACGATATTTCAATCACACCTGCAAAATCGGCAAATATAGAACCGTCGATGGCAGCTGCAATCGACCGAGAGGATGGGGTTCCAGCATGACACCTTTCAGAAGAGTTTTGCCGCCGGATTACGCCGACAGAATCGAATCTCCTCGAAAGGCGCGATCCGGAAAGGAGTTGCCTTCGGCTAGAGAAGTCAGTTTGAAGATACACAAACCTTCAGTCAGCAGCAATCCGTCCTTCACGGTGATGCTGGCTGTATTCGGCCAATTTTTGGATCACGACATTACTGCCACCGCGCTCAGCCAAGGTATTAACGGGAGTTCGATAGCATGTTGTTCGCCCACGAAAGAACAACATCCCGAATGCTTCCCTATTCGAATCGGAACTGGCGATCCTATACATGATTTGACTAACAGAACTTGCATGAACTTCGTAAGATCGGCACCAGCTCCGCGATGCGAACTCGGCTCCAGGGAACAACTTAATCAAGTAATTCAGATCGCATTCCTTCTACTTTCAACTTCAAAAAAAATCAGAGAATAATTTAATATATTATATATTAATTATTATATATATTATTAGATATACAATATAATTAGATATATTAAAAATAATTCAAAGAATAAGATGATAGAAAATTTAATATAAATAATGTTGCCTAGGTCAGCGCCTTCATTGACGGCTCAGCCATTTACGGTTCGAACAACGAGACTACTTGTGATCTACGCGAGTTTGCGGGCGGTCGTTTAAAAATGCAGCTCACCCCTGACAACAGAACTCTATTACCAGCGAGCACGAATCCTAACGATGGTTGTAATCGAGAAGTCGAACGACGTCGTGGTCGTTATTGCTTCGCCGCGGGTGACGCCAGAGCGAACGAGAATCTGCATTTAACTACGATGCATCTTCTTTGGGCGCGGCAGCACAACAAGATCGCTGATGAATTGTCCAAAATCAATCCCACTTGGGGCGACGAAGTGCTCTACCAGGAAACGCGACGCATCGTTGGCGCCCAACTCCAGCACATTACCTATCGCGAGTTTCTACCCATCATCGTAGGCGATAAAAGGATGAAGGAACACGACCTGAAGCCCCTTGATTCAGGATACAAGAAACAAACGTATGATCCAAATGATCTGGAGGACGACCCGACGATAGCTAATCACTTCGCGGCCGCGGCCTTCCGTTTCGCTCACACTTTACTTCCAGGATTGATGAGGATGACAGACGCAGAGAAGGGTACATCGTCGTATGTGGAGCTGCACAGGATGCTTTTCAATCCGTATAGCCTCTATGCCAGGGACGGCATCAGAAGTTCGATCAGCTCGGCCACGACCAACGTCATTCAAAAATACTCTACGCATGTCACTTCGCAGCTGACTAATAATCTCTTCGAGGATCCAGTAGTTAATTTCACGGTACCTTGCGGTCTAGATCTGGTGTCGTTGAACATTCAACGTGGACGGGATCACGGATTACCGGGATATACTGTGTGGCGGGAATATTGCGGACTAGGAAAAGTGAAAACGTTTGAGGACCTCGAAGGGTATTTGAATCATCAGGATCTGGAGCAAATGTCGATGCTTTACGAGTCGGTCGACGATATAGATTTGTATACTGGCGCGTTGTCAGAAATCCCTGAATCGGACAGCCTGGTCGGACCTACGTTTACGTGTTTAATCATTGATCAATTTGCACGTTTGCAAAAGGGAGATCGTTTCTGGTATGAATACGCCGAGCAACCATACCCCTTCACAAAAGGTAAATTTTGTTGATGTTAATAAGCTAGCCACATTTTTTTATTATTTTGAAAAAAATGTATTTAATTTTTTATTTTTTATTCTTTATTATTTTAAAATTATTTTGAAAAAATATGCATTAAAATAATAGCGAATATTAAATATAATTTTTTTAAAATAAATATTTGACATTTGTAAAAATTTATCATATCAAAAGTGAGTAAATCAAAATTGAGTAAAATTCTTGATCAAAATTGATCAAAAATTAAATCATAATGGACATATTCGCAAAAATTTCAGAACAACTCGCGGAGTTACGCAAGAGTTCGTTGGCTAAAATAATATGCGATTGTTCCGATGGAATTACGCACACTCAGATGGAATTAATGCGATCTGTTGGATCTGATAATCCTATGGTATCTTGCAAAGATATACCAGAACCTTCTTTTTTATTGTGGAAGCAAAATCTCACTTCCAATTTAGCGTCATCGACAAATGACGGTCATTATTAAGCGATACGATAAATGAATTATGTTGTGTAAAAAGAAAATTAGACTTATATTCTATAATTCATCTAAAGTCTAAAGCAAAAGGATTTTTCAAAAATAAATTTGGTATATGAATTACAATATATTTATGCAATTATATATATTTATATAATAATTGCATTCTGTTCATTCCTCTCTCTAAATTAAAAAGTTATTAATTTATCTATGTCTATGCAATTTTATAAATTTTACTATACATATAAAAACTAATTTAAAAATATGAAATAAAACAAATATAAAATAAATATATAAAATTATATTGACATAATTGATTGAAAATAAATTTAGGGATGGACAAATAGTTTTAAGCTTTTTGCTATAAAATTCAACATATTTTTAGATTGCAGTTCTTCAATAAGTAAGATATATATATATGTAGCTAAAAAAGTCAATTTCATACAAAATTGTTTTTTAAACAAGCAGATTAATATAATAAAAAAAAATATTAAGTCTGCTTATACTTTATACACATATATATATATATATATATTTATGTTTTGTTAAATATATAACATTTTTTAAAATAATGTGTTTATTTCGTTTTTAATAGCAATAGCAATAACAAGATACATATCTCAATAAAAGGATTAACTATAAAAGTAGTTTACTATATTATATTATCTTTATACTTTTCATGTCAGTAAATTTCAGCACATGTTTGTGTAAATTAAAATGAATTAAATATAAATGAAATAAATAATATAAATATATATAATAAATGATAAATGACACTTTGAACTTTTTTTCGTACCATATTTTAATGCAGAAAAAGAGCTGCAGCTATATTTTCCCTAACAGCACACATATCCCGAAGATATTCAGAGAACATCTGAGGATGTTCGAATGTCTTCTGGATATCCTCAAAATGTCTTTCGGATATGGTGTGCTATATTATAGGGTTCAATATAAATTTTAAAAATATTTTAATATTTTTAGCACTTACCAATGCCGATTTAGTCGACTTTTCGCCATTGAGTATCCAAACATATTAGCCAGTATCTGTAAATATATAAATATAAATTTATGTTAATTAATTACATATATATATAAAAACTGAACGGAACAATTATATGTAAAATTTCAATATATCAACAAAAGGATATATGTCAAAATGACATTATTAGATAGAAATATTAGAAATATATATATATATATATATATAAGTATAAAATTTATTTTATTGTGTAAAATTACATAATTTAATAATCTAATATATGCTATATCTAACCTTTAATTAGTACTTTTTCATAATTTTCTTTTTTCTACTAATAATGTGTATTGCTTTATAACTTATTATATTATTTTTTAATTATTATAACTGCAATATCAGTATATACCTATACAGCAGTAAGTTCTTCTTCGTATGTATTTTGTTTATGTAATTTTAATAATAAATTAATAGAGATATACAAAGAAAATAAAATAATTTTTACTATTTTTTAATTCCACTGCGACCTCTTGTGTAATCGAACGAAAGATTTTTCAAGAACGATAATTGTGATACATCGATAATGCAGTTGCAAGTGTATCTACAGATTTTTTTTTAGGCTTGCGATGCATCTGTTTCGTTTGTACGGTTAGAAAAGCGAGAATGGAGGGCGAATTGAGAATTGTGGTGAAATGGAGCGGAAAAGAATACGATATTCTCGATATTCAGGAAGAGGATACTGTTCTTACTCTGAAAGAGCGTATACATAGAGAAACGGGTGTTCGTCCTGAACGTCAAAAGCTGTTAAATCTCAAATTTAAAGGTTATGTTTTGACAACTGTTTTCTGACTTTTCATCTCTAATAAAATAATTGTTGCTGCAAAATTTCAATAATATATATTTACAAATATTTTTACCATGTTCACGTGTTAAATATCCTTCTATTAATCAATAAATTTTAGTTGCTTTTGGTATTATTGTCATTTAAAATGTGTTGATATAAAATTGTTATTTATTTATAATTTTAGAAAAACTCTCTTTTCCTCTTTATTATATCTTTAATTTGTAATATTTTGTTTCTTCAAATAATTGTTTTACTTCTTGTATTGATCATTATTAATGACTGAGAAAAATTGAAAATTTATGATCTAAATATAGCATAACTGAAAGTATATAGTTTTCAAAAAAGCCTGTGGAAACTTTTTTTCCTTAGGCAAAGCAGTACGAGATGAGGATATAATTGGCAAATTAAATTTGAAACCTGGCTTCAAACTGATGTTGATGGGTTCGCGTGAAGAGGATATTGCGGAGGCCAGTCAAGCACCAGAGAATGTACCTGAAGTGATTAATGATTTAGATATAGAGGAAGAGGAAGTAGAAATCGAAAAAGCTGAAATAAATCTGCGTAAAATCCAAATACGTATTGATCGCTATATGATTATAGAATTGAATCCATTGAGAGAGGGTAAGAAGCTCCTTGTTCTTGATATAGACTATACTTTGTTTGATCATAGATCAGTGGCAGAAAGCGGAGCTCAATTAATGCGTCCGTATCTCCATGAATTCCTAACACGTGCTTATAAAAATTATGACATAGTCATTTGGTCGGCAACTAGCATGAGGTGGATTAATGAAAAGATGAAACTGTTGGGAGTTTCAAATCATCCTAGCTATAAAATAGCTTTTCACCTAGATGTTCTTGCTATGATTACTGTTCATACACCGAAATATGGCGTTGTTGGAGTAAAACCATTGGGCATTATTTGGGGAAAGTACAAACAGTTCTCTGCGAAAAATACAATAATGTTTGACGATATCAGACGAAATTTCATAATGAATCCTCAATCGGGATTGCGAATAAAACCTTTTAAACATGCTCACACTAGTAGAGTCAAAGATTTTGAATTACTGAAGTTATCAAGATATTTGGATTTAATAGCAGAAGTTGATGACTTTCAAACTCTTAATCATAGAAAATGGGAAGAATACAAACCCAAAAAAAATGATCACACGAATAAACAAACCAGTAGCAATGAGAAAAGTTAAATATTGATGAAAATAATTTTCCTTTTTTTTCTTATCAAAAGCCAGTGAACAATATAGGGATTGATGAAAGAAAGAATACAAAGTAATTTGATAGATTGTACATAATGAAAGGATTTGCATTTGTCCGTTTTTTTTTAATCACGACTAAGAAACCAGGCTACAAGACTGTTTAATACATTCTGAATGAATACAATTTTGTTTTGCAAAAGAATGTATAATGCGTGATATTAAACTCTTCAAAAATCCACATATTTTCACATGTTTCTGTATATTTGTGATGTATTTATCAATTTATTATACAGATATAAGAACCATTTAAATAAAGTGCATGAATGCTCAGTACAAGAATGTAATGATATAACTTGTTTAAGTTCGCGTCAAGTCATGTGTGCAAAATTTTATACGTTCTATATATGTGTGTTTCACGAATATAAATATTAGCAAACTTTGGGTCTCACAGGACAGACGCGAAGCGTTTAATTATTTATATTTACATATTCGCCCTATTATGCGATGTATTGCAATCATTAACACTTATTAATGTTTTATGCTGCAAATCGCAATTTCTATCTTATATATATATGCTAACGTTTGGCAGACTGTATATTTAAAAAATTTTTAAATTTTTATATGCCAAATTTATAAATATTTAAACTGTTTAATAAAATACAATTTCCATTTCCATAAAAATTTAGAGTATTACGAAAGAAGATGTATAAAATATGAAAAATGTATATGAACATTGTAATAAAGCATATTTATCCGAAAATTCAATTAATTTTTTATATCTATCAAGTTTATATCATAATTAAACATATTTCTAAATATATTTGCGATCAAAAGTTTAATAAAAATCCTTTTTTTAAGTTTATATATATATATATGTGTGTGTATCTTTGTGCGAATGCAATTAAAAACAACATTGTTATCAAAGAGCTGTCTGGAATCTGAAATAATTATCTCTGATCATTACACACACACACACACACACACATATATATATATATATATATATATATATATATATAATTAATAATATATTATTTATATAAGAGAAATAGGATAAAAAGTTTCTATATATAAAATTTCTGCAAAAAAGCCTTCATTCTTTTAATATATCTAAAAACATCGTTGTTGGCAAAAGTACTAATAAATATATAAAAAAATATTAATAAATGTATAAAAAAATGAATGAGAAACGAGATCTCCCGCGTCAATTATTCATATACTACAAACGAGGTCAAGAACGACTCTGTAATTACGAATTGAGAAAGTACCTTAAATCGAAATATCGAGCGACTAGCTACTTCACATCGTCGTGTCCACATTGAAAAATAATAGAATTGATTTTCGCATTTCTCATACTCGTGCGATCGCTCGCCGTTGTCGCTTTCTACATCGAAAAGCACACTCGACTGAAGTAAGTCACGAACGTCATGAACATTATGGCGGACGTTCAGTGGTAGGCGGATATTTTGCTTGACGCGGAAACGTCACACATGCTGTTCGATAGCTGTCAAACTCGCAGAGAAGCAGAAGAATGGAGTTGTTCCGCACTGACACCCACTTTATCTTTGTGAAAGAGAGATATAGTCTCTGGTGTGACAAGTATACCGGCGAATTCGCAGCAAAATCGGGTGAGTAATTCGTACAATCGCATTTGACAGATAACCGAGCGTCTCCTGTCAAATGATCGATCTAAACGTCATCTGAGTTTTCGTGACGCGAATCTGTTTCATTTCCTCCAGGGCGTATACTATGTTCATGTAAAGATATATGCATAACACTTTCTGATTAAATTCTAATAATTAATAACAGAATATTATAGGTGTATTTATGCGTTTAGGATTTAATTGTGACAATATATAAATTATTTTTAATGCTGAGAATGATGGATTTTGTAGATTGGGAATGGGCTACACCAAAAGATCTAGAATGTCTGGGAATGTGTTATGGAATAGTGGGAAAAATTGAACAAACATCAGTATTGGAACCTCGATTAATGCTTATAAAGGATGTCACACCAGCAGGAGAATTACATGGTGATCATGTTGTTTACAAAATTAAATCTATCGCGTTTCTACATTTCGGCACAGATAATACAGATATTGGCTTGTTGCCTTGTAAAAAACATCAGTATGCATTGAAGAAGAAAGGAAGTAGTGGATTGTTTGACATACCACAGAGAGCAGGACTGGCAAAAACCTGGGGTACAATCAAGAATGCCACAAATACTATAAAAAATACCACACAACAGGCTGCTGCGCTAGCTACATCTCAAGTAAGAGATCTAAATTGTTGACATTGTCCAGTGGCATTTTATTTTATATCTCACATATAAAACTTATAATATTTATAGGTGAAGTCTACAGTAGCAAAACGAAACATAATGAAGGACAAGGAAAGATTTGAGAAGAGAATACTGGAAGAATTAAATAGAATATTTACCGAAACTGATTCTTTCTTCTTTTGTCAAACTGGTGATATCACTAATAGTTTGCAACGGCAATGTATAGCAGAATCTCAGCAAGGCAATCAGGATAAACCATTGTGGCAACGGGTGGATGACAGATTTTTCTGGAACAAACACATGTTACAAGATATAATTAATTTAGATGTTAGTAATTTTTATAAAATTTTTATTATTTATAATTGATTTCATATACTAAAATTGCAAGAACAGCGTTTGCTTAAATATCTTATATAGTTAATTCTATAAATGGTATATCAAATTTATTTTTATTTGTCCAATAATTAGCACAAGTATATAACTTATCAGAAATTAGTTGTACAATCACCAAGGAATATTTGTCATTTATATAGCATGCCAATTGCTTAGTTAAATTATTTTCTTTTGCAGAAAGATAAAGCAAACTGTTGGATATTACCAATCATTCAAGGATATGTTCAAATAGAAAAATGTATAGTTGAAGTTGGTTTTGATGAGCAACCACAGCAGGAGATATTTAATTTGGCAATTATATCAAGGAGGAGTAGATTCCGTGCTGGGACAAGGTAAATTTAATTTACATAGATTGTTTCAATTATACAGTTCTCATAAATTACATAAATTTTATTAATAATAAAGAAATATTTTTAAATAACATTACACAGATACAAGAGACGCGGAGTGGATGATGATGGGAAGTGTGCAAATTATGTCGAGACTGAACAATTAGTTTGGTATCACGATCATCAAGTATCCTTTGTACAAGTACGAGGTAGCGTACCAGTATATTGGTCACAACCTGGATACAAATATAAACCTCCACCGCGAATTGATAAAGGTATAAGCAGGAAACGATATATTTTTTACATTAAAACATTTATATAGAATAATAATCTGATATAATAATGTCATAGATGAAGCTGAAACACAAATAGCATTCGAAAAGCATTTTGGTGAAGAACTTGCATTGTATGGACCTGTTTGCATCGTTAATCTGGTTGAACAGTCTGGCAAAGAAAAGATAATCTGGGAAGCTTACAGTAATTATGTGTTTAACTATAATCATTCAGATATTACGTACACTACTTTCGATTTTCACGAATATTGGTAAGTATCTCCAAGCATTATCCATAACTTTAAATCTTTATACTTATTTTTATTACGAATTATATCTCGAAAATTTTGTCTTTAACACAGTCGAGGAATGCATTTCGAAAATGTGTCTATTTTGGTTAATGCATTGGCTGCAATGCTAGCAGATATGGGTTATTGCTGGCGTGATAAACAAGGTACAATTTGCACGCAGAAGGGCATATTTCGTGTGAATTGCATAGATTGCTTAGATAGAACAAACGTGGTGCAAACTGCTTTGGGTAAAGCCGTTATGGAAATGCAATTTTCGAAACTGGGACTAATACCTCCTGATGGAACTCTGCCTGCAAACATAAGACAGACTTTCCAATCGCTTTGGGCTAATAATGGCGATATTATTAGCAAGCAATACGCAGGAACAAACGCTTTAAAGGTGCATTTTAGGCTGTTTGTGTCAAGTGTTATATTGAATAAAAATTTATATTAATTTTTAATAATGATAAATTTAATTCTATCAATTAATTTAATTTTATAAATGATCTCTGACATAAAATTCCTTGTTGTTTATTATAGGGAGATTATACACGTACTGGAGAGAGAAAATTTACTGGGATGATGAAAGACGGCATGAATTCTGCAAACAGGTAGAACTATATACATCAATCTTTTATCATTCTGTATCCGCTTAATTTTCCTCATTTTCCATTTTTATTTTTATTTCCCAACATTTTTTACATCACACAAACAGAACCTCACAGTTTTCATGTCCCTTTAAAAGATAATATCCGGGTCTTCGATATTTGAAACCGCGTTGTATTCTACCCTGACATTATCCTTTCATTTTCCAATAGATATTATCAGCAACACTTTATGGACGACTTACGTCAAGCAGCGATAGATACGCTACTAGGGAACTCAATCGACGTTGATCAACTGAACAATGATTGGTCACATTATTTAGATATCTTTGATAATTGCTGTCTCGAACTTATACCTATGAAACCACCAAATATACAACTTCAACTTGCTACTCATCCTGACTTTCTTTATGCCACTGCCCTCTATAATTTAGCAAGGTTCGTTGTGCTTGCTTGTAGCTTCACTTTTGGGAAACATACAACAGAGGTGTATGTTTCCCAAATATATCTTCAATCTTCAAAACTTTATTTAATTACATTTTACTCTATTATAAACTAATTTATATGTAAAAAGATGCTCTCTTTCTCTTAATATCAGCATGAAAAGTTGTTTTTGTTATGCCACAATTTTTTTGCATGATTAAACTCTATAATATCCTTTTATTTTGTGGAAGAATATAAGGATGATTTATAATCAATCCTCTTTGTATTATTTAATAAATGCATTATCACTCAATAAACATAAAAAAGCTGTTTTCTCTTCTTTAATATATTTTTTGTAATGTAGAATATATGATCTATTAAATATATACTTTCAACGAAATTCTTTCTTTATGCTCTTATATTTTCTTGAAATATTTATGCTCTTATATTATCTCTGAAAACTGTTCTTTCATTTTTAACATAGCCATGTAATGAGAATCAAAATATCTTTTTGCAGATATTACTTGAATCGCTTCAAGGATGTGTATAGACAAGCAACAATTGATCTGATGTTAGGAAATTCGGTAAGCGAAGAAGTATTCTTAGAACGTACAGATGAAGAAGACAACGCGGCGACTGCAATTCACGTGAAATTACTAATCGAAGACTGCAAAAAGTTATTGATACCTGATCCTGAAAGTATCCTCGGCAGTTGGGGTGTCATAGATGCCGATCCTGTGTATGTATTAAATATTCATTGTAATATATTTGTTTTACTTTAGATGCGATTTATGTTTTAATGAAAAATTTCTTATTTTTATTTTAGTACCGGTGATCCAACGGAAACAGAAATGGATACCATTCTGATACTAACCCGAGATAGTTATTATATAGCAGACTATGACGATCAAATTGATAAAGTTACAAATTATCAAAGAATCCCGCTAAACGATATCGTCTATATCGAATTCGGTCAGCCCGAGAATACAGTTTCGTTCTTCAAAAATAAGCATTATCATTGTATTAGAATCAATTATAAGATGAACAGTGAATATGGTTACTTTCACATGTTTCGCAGTACAAATTTAAGATTTTTCAATAATATGGCGGTTGTGATCAAAACTGAAGAAGAAAGCATAGGTAGGAACACATTTCCTTTGTATATCGAAACACAAACTTTAAATAATTTTTACGCGAATTTTTAAATTTACAGAATCTTTAAAAGCAATTTGTGAAGCTATTTCTGTAGCTATGGAAATAGCAGGCTTACCAAAGATTCCTGTAGCTATGAATGTCACTTTAGATAAGAGAAAGAGTAAATTAGCGAATGTTAAAGGCTCTACTGGATTATTGGATATTTCATCATTTCCAGAATTGACGAGAAATGTATCTGAGACACAATTGCTTGCTTTAAAGACAGCAGGTTTGTTCTTAAATTACTTTAATATTTTATATATATTACTCGACGAATATAATTTTTTTATAAATATAATAATAAATATTTTTTTAGGTACAAAAGCTTTAAGCAACATGTCGGAGCAATTTAGCAAATTGAACAAACTGAGTCAGAGTTTCAGCACAAAGAAACCAATTGATTTGGCGAAGAACATAGGTAACAGAAAGACGGAAAAGACATCGAAACCGGTCTTTATCGTCGGTAACAGAGATATATCAGGCAATGTGAAAGAAGAGAGCAGCAACAGCAGTAGCAGCTGCAGCGAGGAAAATATTGAAATGACACCTATACATGTTAAAAAGCCAGCAAATTTTAGCCACGATAAGCACTTAATGGAAGCTTACACTCCAGTGATCGGTATTATTATGGGTGTGAAAAATACTAACGTTGTGGATGGTGACGTTTGTGAGACTGGCATGAATAAGGGCTTATCTGCAATGAGACATAACACGAATGTGGATTCAAAACCTGACGTAGCCATTGACGCATTGCATTTAATACCGCAATCTTGCTCTGGCACTACTTCCCTCAGTACTTCGCCGCAGAAGACTACGGCAACCACGCCGGAGATAACGGTGTACGATGCAGGAGACATTATAGATGAGGAAAGAGAACGGATGATTCCACCGTCAACCTTGACACTTTCCAAGAATATCAGTCATTCGACGGGGGATATGGAAAATAAAGCGTTATCATCCTGTATCAAGAGCGCTACTCTTCAAACGGATAATAGATTGGACGAGAAAAAAAGATCGGCATCCGAACAGGATTTGATATTGAATATTACGTCATCCCAAAGTGAATCTGCCTTAAAATCTATAAGGGAGAATATCACGAATGTTACCAGTCCAGTAACGTCGACGGCCAAAGATATCCTGTTGCCCTTCTCCAAGTTTGCTAAAGGTGTTCAAACATTAGGAGCTAATTTAGATCCTAGAAAGCTGAAGACAGGCCACATAATGCGAAATTTGTCAGAACATCATATGGAAGAGCGCCAGAAACTTCAAGAAAAATGGGCCTCTTGTCAATCTAGACTTATTGCTTTATAAACCTTTATTTTAACGATCAGCTTTTCGAATCCAATTCGTCATTGAATATCAATTTAAAGCTTATTAATACAGTTTATATTCGTAAATATTATAGTTAATATTTATGAATATAAGTTTAGGAATTTTTTTAGTATATATATAAATATATATTTGTGTGTGCGACGTGGATGCTATTACGCACCTTGAAAAAAAGAAGAGAAGGAGAATAAAGTATTATTAGATTGTACTATAGTCATTTTGCTATATAGATCGCGTAGAGAGATTTGAACAACACGAGAAAAAAATCATGTAGAAAGTAATTCCGATCACGTTTTGTAGAAAAAGTTATAAATCGATCTCACTGCACCTATTTCGTGTTTTCACATTTCATGGATATAGCTTTTATTGATGTGAAACAAACAAAATTATTCACTGTAAAAAGTAAAGTAATTTCTAAATTGCAACAAAATAAAATTACAAAACTAACACAAAGTACAACACGGTCAATATTTATTCGTAATAATTGATTTTACAGATTAATAAATACCGACTACAATTTTTGTATTATTAGGAAATTGTGCCACCTTTTAACATTTTATTTTCTTTGATCGTGAATCATTCTAATGTATGAATTTTACTACATACTTGCTAAATTTTTTGAATATATCTTTACAACACTTTTAATAGCAATTTTCTGAAATAAAGCTATTTAATGCGACCAATTTGAATTTAAAAAGTATGCAAACATTTTTGAAAAGGTTTTAATACCTTATTTTTACTGCGTGAAATTTTCTCTTATCTCTGCATAAAAATATCTTTTTTTCTAGTAAAAATATTTTATTCAACTGATAAATAATGAACATATATAAATAATGTTATATTAAACAGATGAATAAATGCAGATGAGACGATTTATTTGTACAGGATGTCGAAGAAAGAAGATTTTATAGTCAATTATGTAAATAAAGAGAATTATTTAAATATAGTTTATAACAAAAGAATTTATATATAATAAAATTAGTGAGAAGAAATATGTTTGAAACTTTGAGACATTGGTTACCAAAACAAAAACATATGTAATTATTATTCTGTGTTAGTTTTTTGAGAGATATGCATAAAATTTTATTATGTTGCATGTTAAATTTTTTTAAATATATACATAATTATGTTTTATAATCAAGTAAATAATACACATGAGATAAACGAGATAGAAAAATTAAAAGCTTTTGTCACGAATAAGAGGTTTTAAGTTATAAAAAAAATTCGTATAATACGAGAGAACTGAAAAACAAGTTCATGTATCCATATAATATCGCGTTTGTATGAATGTTTTAATTTTAGATGCTTCAACAATTGTTATAAACAATTTTAATAACTACAGCAAACATACAGTATTAAATCGAGTATATGCTTATAAAACACTGCGAAATACGTTCCCCTTCATGTATATGTAAATCAATTATATAAAAAGAGATTAGGCACAGGGAATAAACATATATATTGTGAAAATCTTATATTTATTCTAGAAAAATTATATAACATACATTGTCCATTGATGTAAATAATTGTCTCATTTTGATGTTTTTCTTCTTCCGATGTGGAAACGTTTCGGAAAAACATCAACACATTATGGTGATCCTAAGCTCGTATTTTTAGCAAATATTCTTTTTGACTGTGAACAATAGTCTGTGATACAATCTTACAGAATGTAGACAGATCATACTCACGAACAGGGTTTAAGAAATGTATACACTCTGAAAGAAAATTAGCAATGCTTTAGGATAAGAATGAACTAGACTGTTTTTCAAATATGTATTCTTAAAAGATTTTAATTTTAATTTACACAAATTTGTTTTACATTGTTACTAATAATTTTAAAAATACTCATTTTAGAAAAACGTTTAATATGAATTTTTTAAGTATATATATATATATATATATATATATATATATATATATATAATTATTTAATTTAAACGATTATATTGCAATGTAAGATTCCACGCAAGTTTTAAAATCTGTATAATGTATGTTATTGCATATTTAATTATAACATTGCAACTGACCTGCAAAAAATAGATGAATAGATAAGAACTCGCTCTATGAGAACACGAATCACTAATTATTAAAATTAATTTTTTAAAAAGTTATTTTTATAAAAGTAAAATATAATTTAAAAAAATTTGTTATGCATATAAAAATTAAGGTATTTGTACATAAATATTATAATTAATTTTTATTTAATTCATCTATTTCTTGTAGAATAAAAACTCTATTTAGAAAAATCGTGTGTGGAGCTTCTAGAGATATATGCCTTACACATATTCTGCTATTACTATGTTTCCAGAAAATAATAAGAAAATTTGAGTATACATCAGACAGCAAGCATTGACAGCACTTGTAGAATAAATATCAATAAAACACATTTGGCTTGTGTGCGTGTAATTAAATTCTATTAATTTTTTTAAGATCAATTTTATTAATAAATCTTATGTATATTAATAAATTCTTGATAAATATTAAGATGAACTTCGAGTTGGTCTCCAATAAGATAATAAAAATATTTTTTATTATGTTTGCTTATGCAATTAACGTCTATGTAAAGATTTTTAATTATTTCAACTTTATTAAAAATTAGACAATTTTATATTTGGCGCCAAATACCTCAACCGGAAGATAAGAAAATTATATTTGCCATCTAGTAGTAAAATTGGGAACTTGCAAAGATAAAATTGAGTAAAAGAATAGTATGCAAAAAAATCTGTGATAGATGTAAACATATACGGATTTTAAACTTACCTATACAATAAATTATTGAAATAATTAAATGGATGACGCACGTGGTGTAGAATGTTTATGGGGAGATCTCAAAAGTCATCCACAATGTCCTCACGGTAATTGTCATACGCATACACTTGAAATTAATTTTTATGTCAAAAATTATTTCTTTCAACAAAGATAAATTTTTTTTTATAGGCCCAACATTACTATTTGGTACATATGTTGATGGTGAATTAAAAAAATTTTATGCATGCTCTGCTTGTCGTGATAGAAAATTATGCAGATTCTATTTAGAGTATGAGCAAGAATTGTCCAAATCTTGCAAAAATATGTGGGAGCTGGAAAAGAAAAAGCTCACTCAGCAATATCCTCATCAAAAATTGTACATTCGTTTGAATGAAATTAAAGCACAATCCGTAACAAAAAGATGTTACTGCCACAATTGCGAGAGATTAATTTTTAGTTCTGAAAAAGATAAGCATATTGATCATGAGATTACAGAGAATATAACAGATTATCAATTGCAACATCCAACAGAACTTTTAAAACCCCTAGATAATGCAAAGAAAGAAGCACAATATTTATTTTCTAAGAAATCTACAGAAGATATAACAAAAATGCTATTGAAGCTTGGAGCTAAACAGATTCTTTGTATTGGAACGCCAAGAATGCACGAATATATAACTGAACATTATATAGACCAGATATCTTCTCTCCTCTTAGACTTTGATGGAAGATTTGTAAGTATAAAAAATAGAGATTATTACATTAATTCATAATTTATTTTAATTAGTGTAGTTTTTAATTATTTTTATTTTTATTAGTATAATTTTATTAAATACATTTTGATTGATGGTTTCCATAATTTTAGCATAACTTTTTTGGACCACTGGAGTATTGTTGGTACAATCTTTTCAATCATCATTTTTTTAACAAGGATGCTGCTAATGTGTTCAAAGATTTTATCATGCAAAATAAAGGAAAGGACACTTATTTAATATGTGATCCCCCATTTGGAGGTCGTGTGGAACCCATATCTTATACGATAAAAACGATATTTGACCTGCACAAAAATTAAATAACAATAATTTTTCTTTGAAAATTATGTTTATATTTCCATATTTTATGGAAAATATAATAAAAGAAAAAAGCAATCCACCATTGGTAGCTGGTGGTTTGAAAGACTTGATAATGTCTGATTATAAAGTGGATTATGATAATCATCCTCTGTTTATGTCAAATAAACAAGGTAGAAAATATGGTTCCCCAGTAAGAATTTTTACAAATATACCCTTAAAGTTATTAGAGCTTTCTATGTTTGATGGATACAAATTTTGCAAAGATTGCGAAAAATGGGTGTCCAGTGAAAATAAGCATTGCAGGAGATGCAAAGAATGTACTTCCAAAGATGGTCGTACATATAAGCACTGTAAAATATGTAAGCGATGTGTAAAACCTACTTGGAGGCATTGTAAAACATGTAAAAGATGTATGTTAGAGAAACATACATGTGGTCAAATTCCAAATATTGTAGGAAAATGTTTCAAATGCAATGAATTAGGTACATATCAATACTTTTAATATTTTTAATTATTGCTCTTGTTAATACTTTGTTAATTTATTTATAGGTCATACTGGAAAAGAATGTCTCAATTTACTTTCTATTGAAAAGATAGCTAAGACAGATGTAAGAGAAGATAAAAGAATTGAGAAACGCAAAGCAGAAAGTGAACTAAAGAAATCTTCAATTAAAAAGCGTAAACTCGAACATTCAAAAGAAGTTACTAAACAAAAAGTTCTCATTGGTAGAAATAAAGTTTTAAAACTAAAACAGAATAAAAAGAAATTCAAGAATCTAAAAAGTGACAAGGACTAAAAGAAACAATGTGCGTATTCTTTTTTTTGTATTTTATATAATAAATACTCAATAATTATTCTTTTTTTTCGTTCCTTAAATCTTCAAATCCAATCAAGACGGCTGAAAAATAAAGCTTTTATAATAATAGGTTTTTATATAGCTATATTTTTGTTTAGAGACAATAATATATGCATATGTTAAATGAGATGAATCGCATATCACTTATTTAATACATTTTATACGTAGCATATTGCAGATATATTATTTCTTTCTTGATAAAAATATATATAATATATATTTATATTAACATTATATTTTTATATCATATAAAAATATGTAATATATACAATACACATATGTAATCAATATTAACAATTGAATTTATTTTTATATCTTGATACAAGTTTATCGAATTCGCGCGTTTCAGAGATCTAAATTTCAGCCAATCGGCTCGAAGGATGAAGTCGCGGGAAATTTGTCGAACCGAAAGCAGTTTTCTGTTTCTCGAACAATCAGGTGCGAGGATTCAAAATTGTTCCGAGTTTTGACACGTGCGATGCGACACATCGATAATTAATATTTGCCCTTGAAGATCGGGGCAATGGAAATGAGCATCCGACCGAGCGATCACATTCGAATTTCAGTGAAATCTCGAACTTTCGTCAGCTGATCAGCTGATCTCTGCTCGTGTCAGGGTCCTTCAGGATGGCATCCCCCTTGTCGCGATTGCCGCAGACGTTTCTCGCCAGGAACGGCTCGAAACTGTCGCAGTTCGCGACGATTGTGCTCGTCGAGCGACAACCTGGAGTCCGGGTGCTCCATTCGCATCGGCATCAGGATCGAAGGACATTTGACAGCGGACCAAAACAGTTCTTAACCTGTACCGCGCTTATCTCGGCGTTGGGTCTCGGCTATATTTTGTATAATAACTGGAAGGATGACATACGGCAGAGGATCAAAAATTTGGTCCCTAATTATCCCGTTATTCATTCCGTTTCGTTATCTGATAATCAGAACAGGGATAAGTATAATTTTATAGCGGACGTGGTAGAGATATCCGCGCCATCCGTAGTTTACATTGAGATTAAAGACTCATCGAGGTAAATATGAACATTACATATTATGAAAAAATGGTATATCTGTGATGAACATATATTAATTGCTGCTTTCTCGTTCTCGTGAATTGATAGGGTAGACTTCTTTACTGGGAAGATAGTTACCACTAGTAATGGATCAGGATTCATCATTAATCAGGATGGTTTAATACTAACAAATGCCCACGTTGTAATAAATAAGCCCAATACATCAGTGAAGGTAAATGTGAGTCCTTTGGGAGTTCCCTTATCCTTTCTAAACATCCTGTAAATATTACAAGTAACATTGAATATAATTATTCTTTATACATAAGGTTTGTTTTTTGTTCCTGCACTAATAAAATAGTGCACACTGGTGCAATAAGTTAGCGTGAGACAAAATATACTTCTCTCATTCTAACTTATTGCACCAGTGTGCACTAGTTTATTAGTGCAGGAATAGAAAACAAGCCTATTAATATCCTGTATCTTACACCTAAATCTGTTTTTAATTTAATTATTATTATTTGATAAAATTCATATTACTTAATTTGTTACATCTGTTTCAAACTGTTTCATATCTCTTATTTTTTTTACATAGGTGCGACTTTATGACGGTACTACACATATTGGAGTAATAGAAGATATTGATTTGGAAAGCGATCTTGCTACTGTGCGTATAAAGAAGGTAATATAGTAATGAATATGTACTTTGTTGTCTTATATGCTTCATTGTAATTGTATGCTTTTAAATATTATTATAACTACTAATCTATATATTATTTGATTATATAGACCAACCTGCCTGTGATGAAGCTTGGTTGTTCAGCCAATATTAGACCAGGAGAATTTGTTGTGGCTATTGGTTCTCCGTTAGCTCTTAGCAACACTATAACAAGTGGAGTAGTAAGTAGTGTAAATAGACAAAGTGAAGAACTTGGCCTACATAATTCACAAATTGGATATATTCAAACAGATGCAGCAATTACTGTGAGTTTGCGATAACTGTTCGTTTTATTATAAATATTAAATATTATGTTGTATCTCTTATTTTTTTTTTAACAAAATCGGATTTTTCTTCAGTTTGGAAATTCGGGTGGACCGCTAGTGAATTTAAATGGGGAAGCAATAGGCATAAATGCAATGAAAGTGACGTCTGGAATTTCATTTGCCATACCAATAGACTACGCAAAAGAATTCTTGCATAAAGCAGAGTTACGTAAGAAAAACAAAGGTAATGCAGAATATTTTTTTATTCTATTGACGCAATGTAAGGAAGACATTACAGATTATTCTTGCAGACATAGTGTTTCAAGGAGCACCCAAGAGAAGATACATGGGAATCACAATGCAAACTTTGATGCCAGATACTTTACTTGAGATGCAACAATATAATGAGTACATGCATGTCAGACATGGAGTCCTTGTGTGGAAAGTAATGCTTGGCTCTCCAGCTCATAAGTAAGTATAAAAGCATCCCTTTATTATTATCTTACATTGTAATTACACTAGAATTTATGATTAATTAATATAATACAATTATTATCATTAATTATTACAATATAATAATAATTATTGAAATGTAATATAATTAATTTAAAAATAGATTTTTTAAAAATGTATGTCAAAAATACGAAAGTGATACGTTACTAAAATTGTTTTTCTGAACAAAGAATCAAATAATCAGATAATAAAATAAATAATAAGTAGTAGATACAAAAACTAGAAAAAAAATTATAAGACAGTACTCAAGTATCAAGCATCAAGATGATATTTAATGTTGAGAAAATGCCATTAATATTGTAACATGATATATATAAAAATGTGTTAACGTCGAAAAATTTAAATATTATTTTATTGTTGCAGTGCTGGATTACAGCCTGGGGATGTAATAACTCATGCCAACGACGAGCCGGTACTGGATTCACATAATATTTACAAGATATTAGAACGACCAGGAACGATACAATTGCAAGTTGTAAGAAAAGGAAAAAATTTACATGTAACAGTCGAACCTGAGGATACATAGCTGATTGAGGTATATATATAAATATATAAATTTATCGTCCGTGTATCTTATTTCTTTGAAAATATATCATATATACATACATATACATATATATACATTGAAGACACTAATATATATATATATATATATATATATATATATATATATTATTTATTTATTAGTGTCTTCAATGTACGCCGAGTGTTGTTTAGTTACAAGAAAAGCTTTCGAAAAAAAGCAAGAATCACGTTTATCGTTTAGCGCACTTTATAACTGGTGAACCGGTTCATCAGTCACACCAAATCGAGCCTCCAGTATACACGCCTTTTGGTTGTACAACCGTTTTAATTTTAATATACACGATAAAGGGCCACTTAACGACTTATAGAATTTATCAAGTGAGAGAGCATTTATTTATCCGCTTTATCCGCTAACATTTTTCGTGATCACTCGCGAAGAGCGATGTCACGTCGCGTGGATAATCTTGCGTTGAGTCCTTGCTGCGATATGTATATGCGCGAATAAAACTCGTGTATAGGTACGTGAATGCGTGTGTAAATACGCGAATGCGTTATGTACGCCGGGTGTGGTTTATACGTGGCCCGACTGCATTATGTTTATATTGTTTACGACGTAAAGCGATCTCTGCCGCAAATATGCGACCGGATCTCGCGATGCAGCGAGTTGCGTGGATGGTGGTCCTTCGCGGGGCTTTCATCAGCGATTTTTTTGCCGTTTGAAAGGGGAATGCAGGGTGAAGGAAAGGATTTTACTGTCCGCGGACGCGTGCATCTTGTTGGAATTCTAAAAGGTCGTTCCGTCGAGATATAACTCCAAACGTTTCACGTCGATCCGCCAGGATCTATAAAAGGAAGAAGGAGGAAGAAGTGAGGGTGGCGGAGGCTTGATGATTTCTCTTCGCGCATACTCGAGAGATATGCCATTGTTATCCAATATGTTGTGTGCGATAAACGATAAATCATCAAGATTAACTTTGCCTCGATGGCAGGATAAGGATAGAAATATATCAGTTAACTGATGTTGAGATGAGAGAATGTTCGACGAATTTGGCCATTAAGATGTTTTCAAAATTTGAAATAATTTTTCACTGATAAAATCAACAAGACGTACTTACAATGCGCTGGTTTTTTTCTATTAAAAAAGTCGAATCAATTTAGATTTTAGAAATATATGGATAGGTAATCGAATCTGATTTTTTTTTAGTTATATGTAACATATACAGTTTGCCAATTTGAAATAACTTGCAAAGGAGTGTTATCTTTGTTGTTTGAAGTTTGCGAAGAAAGTGGCATTGAAAGAATGTCAACAAAGAAATTAATTCTTTGTTTTCTTATGAGGAATATTCTTTCAACGAAATATGCGCGTGCATGTATCTGTTTTATAGAATTTTAAATAAATATAAATAATAAGAATTATTATTAATATATTAATAATATTAATTAGAATTAGAATATATAGTTATAAGATGTAACTATAATATATTATTTATAATTATATATATTTAATATAATTATATAAATAATATAATTATAATACATTATTAATAATAATATTTCTTAATTATTATTATTTATATTAATAATAATAATTAAATATAATTATAAAATAAATAAGTATAAATTTATACAAATAATATATCTTTCTGATATCAATTTGATATCTCAACATATATTACGAATATTACGTTGTATGTTATTGTCATCATAATTTTGCAAATTACAAGACGATAAACTGTTGCATATTGTTACAGAAAAAAATAAAGAGAAAGAGAGAGATAGATAAGGAAAGGAAAAAGAGGGTCAGTCGGTGCGTTACTTTGAAGTCACATCGAGCTGTGAAGGGTTAAGGAAATAAGAGGTGCCTTGACCTACGATACGCGGAGAGGAGATCAGCGTGAGCGAGTAATCGAGTGTTTCTGCCGACCGTGTTCACGGTCCGACCATTATCGTCTCTCCGTCCCTTCTCCCGCGCGATCTCTTCTCCCTTTATCCTTTCTCGCCACTTTTTTCCTTTTCATCACCGCGCTCTTCGTCTTCCCAGCCTTCGGCGCTCACGTCAACACGCGGGAGCCTATTCTCTGATTATCCATGCTTTCTCGCCTACGAGCACCTCGATGACACCTTCCTTCTCTCCCATGTGTTGCTCCTGCTGCTGCTGGTAGCACATAATGATAGAGAAGCAAACAGACGACGGATCTTGCGAACACGACATCTCCGTCGTGTCCTCGCGGACGAGATATCCCGAGATATTGCGCCCACGTTTCAGTCGACAGTCTCCTTGCGACCGCGGCGCGGACGATGACCGGAAACGAGCAGAACCACCTGAAAGGTCACGGCCTGCCGTTCGTGGACTCGCTCGAAAAGGCGTGTCCTAGTCGTAGGATTTGTCCGCGAAACGGTACCCCACGATGGGAAGAATGAGGAAGAGCGCGGGATGCTTGAGAAATTGACAATAAATGTATTCCGTGAGAATTCTCCACGGAACGTTCTAATGCTCGCGCATCCGGGTTGTTAGATTCTCGGTTAAATCGTGATCTTCTTATAGAAATTTGAGATTAAAAATTCACTCTAAATTGGCACGTGTACGTCGTACATGGAATTCATTTGGGCGTGAATTAAAGGCTATTACACACGTGCTGTTTGAAATTCAGAATAACACGGAGAGGTAACTGACCGCATCGTATTATGAAAGTTATATTTCCTGCTTATCGTAACGTTCCTATTTATATCGCGTTTGTGCACTAGTGTGGCATAACGAAAAACCCTCGAGTACCAGGCCGAGATCAAACGCGATACTCTGCGGATACTATTATCCGCCTACGTTTTCTTATATTCTTCTGATTTTTCATCCTGATATCATCGATAAAATCAGAAGACTGAGAAATATCCTCAATGTTCAAAATTAAATGTTAAATTTGCGAAAAATTACTCATTAAAATCATTCTTTTTTTGACAGATTAAATATTGAAAATTAACATGATTAAATTATAAAAAAATTCTGTTTTTCTAATTTTTTCACCATTTTTTTTCAAATTTTTAGAAGCGGTACTCGACAAATATTTTACATAAAAATTTTTTATCTGATTTTTAATACTTAGTTATTAATGAAAAAGTAGAATTCTTTATATTAAAGTAAAAATCCTGATGATTCTTTGAAAAGTGTTCATCTTTTACGATATTGAGATCGCGTGCAAATATATTAGCATATATACTTTATAAAATGTACATATATTTAATTTTTAGATATTGTATATAATATATATATGTATAATATTTTTGTATATATTAAATTTAAAAGTTTAATTAAAACTTTCCTCGAAATTAATTGTTTACATTGCAAAATACAGACTAATGTAATGATATTCATGTGCCTGAAATAAAAATATTGAAATTAATTGTTTACATTGCAAAATACAGACTAATGTAATGATATTCATGTGCCTGAAATAAAAATATTGAAATTAATTGTTTACATTGCAAAATACAGACTAATGTAATGATATTCATGTGCCTGAAATAAAAATATTGAAATTAATTGTTTACATTGCAAAATACAGACTAATGTAATGATATTCATGTGCCTGAAATAAAAATATTGAAATTAATTGTTTACATTGCAAAATACAGACTAATGTAATGATATTCATGTGCCTGAAATAAAAATATTGAAATTAATTGTTTACATTGCAAAATACAGACTAATGTAATGATATTCATGTGCCTGAAATAAAAATATTGATGATGCAACCATTAATTGATGATATCACAGCTCTAATTATGTCCAATTATTGTTTACAAATATATTGTAATTTATGCGTTTATGCGTCGTGCAACCTATTGCGATGCGATTTATCGATTGCGTTTAAAATTTTGTGTCCGTGTTGCTTTCAAAGAAACCGGATATGCAAATTTCTCGCAATCTCGAGTTTACGCGTCGAGAGCGGTGAACAGGTTGATCCCTCGCGCCAACCCTTTATGTCATTATAATACTCGTTAGAGGTATGCTCGCGAGTCCGGGTCATCGCAATCGCCAGCATCGCCAAGGACGAGGGTCGTGTGATGTTATTGTGCCAGGGAGAGGATTCCTGGACGTCTGCGGTCTGCGGCACGGGGAAAAAGGGATAAAAAAAAGCCGCGACAGGCGAACAATTTCGCTTTGAACACGAGCGTGTCGCGGCCCTGATCAAGGCCAATCGAATTACTCGTGCGGGAAAAACCGTCGACAATTGTCCTGCGATCGACGATCTTACTTATACTTATAAATCGGAATTCGAGGAGTAATAAATAATGATATTTTTTAAAAAATTGTCCAGAAGTGGATAAGATACTTAAAATTTTCTTTACTCTTACACAGAGAATTTTCTCTTAGAATTTACTCTGAAAATCATAGTAATCGTTAGACAATATGCTATTGGAAGTATTTTATGAGTTTCATTGATACATATTACAATAAAAATAATATTAATATCTATCTACAATATAATATAAAATATATGTTCTATTAATTTTACTATGTACATATATTAATATTTTTTATTGTGGTAAATATTAATCAGAGAAACTCTTATAAAGTTCTTCCAATACCATATATTGTCCCACGATTACTCTATGATTTTCAGAATAAATTCTAAGAAAAATTCTCTCCGTGTACATATCTGATGTTTGCATAAGTTCATTTGCAATGCTGTATGCTTTATAATTAATTAACTATATATAATTTAAAATTTATATAAAATTGTAAATTATATTGCACAATTCATATAATTAAATAAATACATTATATTTAATTATATAAATAATTACAGCTAAAATTCTAATTATTTTATATAATATAAAATTACGATAATTAATAGTATAATTGCAAGCATCAGAAAGATAAGCATCAATTTTTGTTATTGATATTAATATAATTGATGAAATGTGCGATGTTTCGCAGTAGAAATAGAAGGAGTAATAAGAAGAGCAGGTCAGACTTCTGGCGCCTCTTCAAGAAAATTAAAAGCGCATTACTTGCTCCTGAGTACAAACTTATGATATGAATGAATTTTGATTCAATGTGTGCTTTATTAAACGCGCATGCTAAATCTAAAGAACAAGTTTCATTTCATACAAAACAGATACATGCGTGCACATATTTATAAAACGTAAAAACGAGACGTCGTTATATCGCTGGCAAAAGCGGACGACCTTGATGTCTAACCGTCGTAGAAATTTTTTGTTTTATAATGATAACGTTATATTAATGATATAAATGTGAATTTGCTTGTTCGTAAAATAATGAAACTATATACTTTTTAAAAAATTTCTTAAAGATTTCTAAAGTATCTCTCCAGGCGATACAAACTTTTAAGAAGAGAAACCTCGTTTTGAACAATTTTTTTCTTCGGACCTTTACGTTGTTTTAATTATTATGGGAATAAAAAATTTGTCGAAACAAGAATCTCGCATAGGGGACATTTCATTTAAAATGCATTACGGAATGTTGCAAATTAAACGATCCGAGGTCGAATGTAGCCTCTGGTACACGAAACCAAACAAAAGGGTTCGCGTTACAACCGAAGTAGTTCTACGCGATTGGGATCATTGAACGACCTCGAGTAAATCGAATCAGTTTTCTCAATGTTCTCGCTTCGTTCAACTCTTACGTTAATTACGATAATTAGCATCAATAATTTGTCGCGAAGAATTAAATGTTTACTATTAGTCTTTATAATAGGTTTACTGTTAGTCTTTATAATAGGTTGTTCATCTTATCAAGGTCAAATATAAATGATCGGCTTTCGTTGATTTATATACGAAGCGCTTTTCTTGGAAACAAATAAATAAAAGAATATATGCATAAACTGTGATAAATGAATAGATATTTTATATTTTATTAAACAAGAATTATGAATTATTTTTAGAATTTAATATTGAATGTTTTAGGAGAGTTAGCTCTAAAATTTTTAAGCTATAGTAAGGAATAATTATTTTTAAGTTTGTTCTTACATGATTTACAAAATTTTTGTATTTATGAATATTTTAATAATTAATTTTATATTTGTATATATGTTTTAAATATTATTTTTAATTTAAAAATAAATATAATTTTATATACTTTTAATTTTCAAATTTCAATTTTTAATAATAATTATTTAATAATTTTTTTAGAGATATTGAGAATGTGCATTTATTTTGTATGTAGATAATCTGAGAAGAAAAAGCATCGAATCCGGTTACTTTCCTCGCATTTACGAGACACTCGAACGAAATGACGATTGGGGGACGACGAGACGTCGCGGGAATCCTGAGGATCGATCGATACGATCCGGGATCGACTTATCTCGTCTTGATGGCAAACGGATCCGCCTTGTCCTTCGACATTTCTTCAGGTTCCTGGTTCAAAGACATCTCGCGAGGCTCGCGCGCGGTGCATATATAAGTCAAAACCAGATTGTGAGCAAGGTGCATAGCCTGGACAGTCCTTCAGCCAGTAAGGAGGTCGGTAGAGACGCATCAAGCACAATGCAGGCACTGGTAAGTGCAATCTGTCCAGTTCTTTCTTCAATCCCTAAGTCTCCTTTAATTTTCTCCTTTAATTTTTATTTCAAAAAATATATTTTTTTTAATTTCTCTTTTTTCTTTAGTTTTTATAAGTTAAACAACCAATCTAGGGTAAATGTTTCACATCGTGTAGATAAAAAAATTAATTGTTAACTCGAATTTTTTAATTAATGAAATAGAATTTAATTAATTAAATACTTATAAATAATTAAATAAAATTCAAATAATTATAGAAACTAATTCTTTCATGTTAATTAATTAATTATTAGATTAATATTTAGATTTGTATTCATGTGTGTACGAAAGTTTCATACGTATTAAGTCACGATATATTAGAAAATAATTTTTCCAAATAACTATGTGCGATATTAGAAGAAGTGCGAGGTCTTTATTACAATTGATGTTAAATAGTGAAAAGTGAACGTCCGCGAGAGAATGATATATACAAGTGAACCTTACAATTTATTTGCAAGGGTTGCGCCTGCCGGACTACTTGCTTTTTTTCGAGATATAAAAGCGTTGAAAAATGTGCGCGCACGTATGTATAAAATCCATGGTTCGCAGGAGTGCGATCACTGTGCGGATTTTATGGCGGCCAAGCCTTCTCGCTAAATGGCACTCTTATCCAACACCGGATACAACTCCCCTGTTTTTCGCTACGCAAATTTTTTCTAGTCAGCCTTGCTGTTAACCAGCGCGCTACAAACTGTTTTACGGCTGTTTTTCACGTTTATATAGCGATTTAAATCATTTGGTACCTTGAACATCACACCATAAGGCTTTCGAAGAATTTGATTCTAAAGTTACTTAGTTGAATTTGAACGCAGATACCAAGTGTTTTCTTTTCCAAGCATGTGTAAATATACGCTGTATAGTGTGATTTTTGAAATTTTCTAATATTAATTTGAACAAAAATGTCGATGTTTTAACATTTTGTTTCACAATTTTGTGTAATTACTCATTTAACGATATGTGAGAAATTTATTATTTATTTTATTCATTATTAAACAACATGTTGATTTTTTTGTCTGATAGGAGAGATTTATAGTTATTACTTTTCGTCATATTTATTCTATTTATTTATTGTATTTGTTTTTCATATCTCTTAATTTTTATGGATAAATCGTAACTAGAAATTTACAAATAGAAACATTTATTTCTCACATTCGATTATTTATAAAACGCATCGCATTGATTGATTTGAAATAAAAATGTAGATCAAAGTTGTTTACGCGTTTTTAACGTTCGAAACCGCGCTCTCTTTTCCGGTGTCTATCGTCATTTCTTCAGCCTTTATTGGATCGTAAAGAGAGGCTGTATCTTCTGAGACGCTCATGCAAGTATATAAACCCTGTCCTACACATAATGCCTCTGCGTTACCTCATATCGGACATAAAATTCGTCGAACATTTCGCCGACTGTCCCACGTGGTAAGCATCTGTTTTCATCTCCCGAGGAGACACCCTAAAATAATCCCAGATACAATTCTCGAGCTCTTAAAAAAAAAAAAAAAAAAGCAAAAAAACAAATCCGAAAAAAACGCACGACTATATATAGGTAGTCGCGCAAATAAATCTGCCATCGGGACGATCTGCATTCGCATTGTTCTCGCGTTCGTTCTAAATAAAGCTCATTCGACCGAACTTTCTGCCACGTGGAGCGTACGAACGTGCGTACAACGAATATCGCACCATATACATGTATTTATTGCCTCTCCTGCCACAGCTCTCCGATATCGATCATAATGGAATATCGCTCGCGGGAATTGCAGCGGAAATGTCCTTCCTTAATCCCGAAATGATCGTGAGGATCTTGTCGGAGTCCTGTCAGTGAATACCGCGATAAACTGGTTGATACAGATGGAGTAAGTCATAAAAATATCATTCTTCACGATTTTCTGTTCGAAGAATTAAATTAAAAAAAAAAAGAATTAAATAAAATCCTGATTATAGATTAAAAATAAATTTAAAAAAAAAGAATTAAATAAAATGCTGATTATAAATTAAAAATAAATTTAAAAAAGAATTTTCCGAAGAATTAAATTAAAAAAAAGAATTAAATAGAATCCTGATTATAGATTAAAAATAAATTGAAAAAAAAGAATGAAATAAAATGTTGATTATAGATTAACCTAGGAAGCAGAGTACGTCGAAGGCAACCATGTACCTTGTTTATTTGAACGTCGACAGTTTCCGCGTACTTGCGGCGCGAATAAGAATCTCGTTCTCCACTCGTAGATTCCAGTTTTCGCAATCCTCGGCGTGGCGACAAGCGCGCAGCTGACCCTGCTGCCCTACGCCTATCTGGCGGATCCGCTTCCGGTGTACCATCAGTCCCAGGACACGCGTGCCGGGGTGCACGCGTACAGTTACGCCGGCGGCCCGTCCGCGAAGGAGGAAGTCCGGGGTCTCGATGGGGTCACGCGCGGCTCCTACAGCTACGTGGACGCAAACGGTCTCCTGCAATCCGTCTTCTATGTCGCCGACGAGGGTGGCTTCCGCGTCGCGGCGACGAATCTGCCGACCGACGGCGTCCAGGAACACGTAGAGGTCGAGGAGGCGAAGCGCACGACGAGCAGCCGCAGAAAACGCAGCCTCGAGGCGGCATCGCCGATCGCCGATCAAGATCAAGCGCAGAATCCCAAGAGTTCCCAAGAAGATCAGGACTCGGCCGAGAGTTCCCACGAGCTTCCAGCGGCGCAGGAGAAAAAGACCGACACGAATCGGAGCGATCGCAGCATCATCGTCGCGCCTGTCTACGGACTCTCGGACTCGATTCTGATCCCGAGATTGACCGGCACGGCCACTTCGAGCCAGAGCCGCGTCGATATTCACAATAACGTTCGTCTGAAGGCCGTTCAACCCGTCGAGACGATCGGAGTCCTGCCGGCGCCCGCTGCCTACGAGACGGTGATCCTTCCGAGTCAGGTGCCTCTGGCGACGTCTCATCAGAGTCGAGTCCAGGTGCATAATAATCTCCGTGTCGAGACGCCGGAGAAGCTCATTGTTAAGGACGCGGCGATTCTACCGGAGGCATCACCGGTGACTCCTGTCCAGCTCGCTTACAAAACGGTGATCCTTCCCAGTCAGGTGCCTCTGGCGACGTCTCATCAGAGCCGAGTCCAGGTGCATAATAATCTCCGTGTCGAGACGCCGGAGAAGCTCATCGTTAAGGACGCGGCGATTCTACCGGAGGCATCACCGGTGACTCCTGTCCAGCTCGCTGCTTACAAAACGGTGATCCTTCCCAATCAGGTGCCTCTGGCGACGTCTCATCAGAGCCGAGTCCAGGTGCATAATAATCTCCGTGTCGAGACGCCGGAGAAGCTCATCGTTAAGGACGCGGCGATCCTACCGGAGGTATCACCGGTGGTCCCCGTCCAACTCGGACCGCTTCCGGTCCTACCAGCTCTTCCCGGTTACTACGAGAACCGAATCCAGCTTCACAAGAATATCGGAATAGAAGGTCCGAATCCCAAGAACGCCGTGAAACTCGACGCGGTGCCGTTGGCGATCGTCGAGACGCCGATCAAGACTCCAGTTCCGGTTGTCACCAAGCAAGCCGTCCTTCCGGTCGTTCCTAAGCAAGCCGTCCTTCCGGTCGTCCCCAAGCAAGCTGTCCTTCCGGTCGTCACCAAGCAAGCCGTTCTTCCGGTCGTCACCGAGCAAGCCGCCCTTCCGGTCGTCACCAAGCAAGTCGTCCTTCCGGTCGTCACCGAGCAAGCCGCCCTTCCGGTCGTCACCAAGCAAGCCATCCTTCCGATCGTCACCGAGCAAGCCGCCCTTCCGGTCGCCACCGCCGTCTCCAATCAGAGCAGGACTCAGATTCATCGCAACGCCAAACTCGAAGTAGCTGTGCCGATCGTGAGCGAACCAACCGTGTACACGGTTCCCTATTCTCAACCGATCCCGACAGCCTGGCAGGTCCTAGCAGCTCCCCTCGCTCAATCCTCCCAATTTCGTAGTCAGATTCACTTGAACGAGAAGCTCGAGCTGACGAAATAAGGATGTCGACCCCGTAAGGATTTGGACACTTACAGTTATGTGCAAAATAATAGCACTGGTTGAAAAAATGAGGGGAATTTGTATTATTTCCTTCACCATCGAAAAGTGATAATTAAAGGAGTTCCTGGTATTCGTCAGTTCGTTCGAAGACCACAAAAGTCAGAATTTAATAGTTAAACACGGTGGAGGAAACATATAAATTCCCTTTATTTTTTCAACCGGTGCTATTATTTTGTACATAACTGTATATTTATTATTCTCATGACATTTTTCGATGATCCTTAATTCGATCCTTCGGATCCTTTTTAGTTTCTCATCCATAAACGATATAATTTTTTTAGGTTGATTCTCTTTTATATAAAAATTATATAGAAATTTTTTTCAAATAATTATAATAATTATAATTGACAAATTATCTCTTTTTTACAATTGTTAAAATTGTATATGATTATATATTGAAGGTGAAATTTTACTGTAAAATATTTTTCATAGAAAATATTCAAGTTCTTTAAGGATCCTGAAGCAGTTTTAAGCGAATCAATCACTTGCATCGTGATAAAAAAATTAGAATAAGACGTTCTTAACGAGAGTTCTATGAGCAACTGATCAATGACAGGTTTGCTTATAGTAGCTCGTTGTATGAACATCATTATTATAACTATTGTTCGTTCTCGTCTGTGTCATTCTCCAATGTAATACAAGTATTTCAACATTCTTGCATTAAATTATTGTATGATTACACGATTCATGCGATTCATGAAAAAAAAACACCAATGTCAATCCCACGGCTATATAAATGATCCTCTTTAACTTCAGTCGAGTCTAATCGAATTTCCTTCGCTCGAACATATCGCGTAACGTTGGACAGTGTCAATTCGTTCGTGCGAGAATTTAAATTGAACTGTCTGGCTCTATCCAGGAAGAATAGTGACCGGAACACTGACCTTGCATATAGGTCATGTAAAATCGCGTTCATTCAGATCGCGCGCGTTGAAAGAAATCTCGCGAATTTGTCGGCGAATCCGAATCGCGGTTTTTAATTAGACATCACGTTGAGTCAACCCGATTCGTTCCTTTCTGAACTGAAATTTACATCACAATCCTCTCTGGCTGCGGTACATATATATTCTCTCATTACCCGGCCGCGACGATTTGTCGCCGTCGCGTCGTCCAGGATGGAGCGGAAATCGCGACCTTGACTTCGGATTCTTATGCGGCCGGGAATACATTACGGCGATAAACTTTCATGCGCGGATATCGCGTGTCCGTTCACGAGTAATGACGAGATTAACGGGGGATCTCGCGTCTCTTCATGAGAGATTATTTTTTTCTCTAAGTTCATACATGCCATTGAAAAAAGGCTGATAAGATTATTTCCCGCAGATGGAACGGAATGCTTCATATGCGCTCGTTTAAGTTTTACGAGCGGGATATAAGCTTTGACAAAGATGTGATTGTCGAGTATTTCGATCTAGACGAGCTATGAGTGTAAATCATTTTAATTTCCGATTTTTTAATCTGCGGTCTTGAAGAGAGAATAGAAATTTATAACATCCTCTTTGCAGTAAAATATTTTGCCCCATAATGACTTGCTTGTTTTCAAACATATTATGTTAAAAACAGTTAAATTTAAATTATCTAAGTGTGTTATTAATGATATACACATAGAGAATTTTCTCTTAGAATTTATCCTGTAAATCATGGTAATCGTGGGACAATATGGTATTGAAAGAATTTTATAAGAGTTTCTCTGATTAATATTTAGCACAATATTGTTAATATTTTTTATTGTGGTAAATATTATATAATCAGAGAAACTCTTGTAAAATTCATCCAATACCATATCGCTCCACAATTACTATGATTTTTAGCTTAAATTCTAAGAGAAAATTCTCTTCATGTATAGCTCAATTATTTTGCTTTCTAACGAAATAGATTGCATTGACTCTTCTCTATTTTTAGAATAATTCTTTTAGTTATCGAAATCAAAATTCATATATTTTACATCGTCAAACGTCAAACGTCACCTGTCAAACTACTTGAATACAGACATTGCATCGAACCGCAGATGCAAGTTTCGAATTATAAGCGCAGCCGTAATGCAATATGCAGACGGACACTGATGTCTTTGTTTTGAACATGCCTTCGAGGGAAGATATCCCTGATGAGATGCGCCGTGAATGTATATGTATATACGTGATCGTTTACGAAACAAGGTCCGCGGATTAGGGCACACAGATAAACGAGTATATCTCTCTCGGAGAGGCAGAAGATCGCGAATGCAGGATTCGATCGAGAAGCGTCCGCTACACAAAATCTGACATTGCTTTCGTTACGATTTCTCGAACCCGTTTTCTCGACTCGATCCGCGCGGATTATTTTCCGCGCGATCGTTGCGTGGGCATAATAACGGATGGTCCGCGAGAAGATGGTTGAAACGCTCCGTAGATTACATCGGATCTCGACGCATTACGCGGCCGCCGCAGTACCCGAGTAATATTCCTTTATTGTCGAACCTAGTGCCGCCCTTCGCGTATTAGCCTTAATAAAATGCCGTATAAATTCTCGGATCTTTTTTTTTTATTTTTCTCTCTTTGCAACACGCGGATATCCGTAGCGCGCGAGAGTGGTAAATGCGAAATAATAATGGTCGCAGTAAATCACGCTCGGTTCCCCAATATTTCTATCGGGACTCGGGGAGATAAATGTAGCGCAATACGCGATGCAAAAATGGAATTGCCATAAACCCGTGCGGATACTTTGTCCCTTAGGATATTATGTATATATTGCTCGCAGTGCGTAGAGAGGAAGAGAGAGGAAACGAAACGATATCTGTATCAGAGGTTCAGAGAGACGCTTTTAGAAATATTATCTCATATACAGACGACTGCAAAATATACTTTGGATTTAAGGAAATTAAAAAATATTTAATTTATAGAATATTTTATGTAATATTTATGTAATTAAAAATTTGCCCTTTATAGGAAAAGGAATGCAAAGCCAATTCTGGCAAATATGGTTGCTGCTTCGGTGAATTAAAATTATGCACATAATAGAATTTTGTTTAATTAAAATTGTGTACATAATAGAAATTTGGAAATTAAAATCATGTCTTTTTCTGAAAACAGGATTTAAAGTCTATTCTCAAGTTTGATTTAAAAAACATTTAGTTAAATTACAAAACTACAAATATATAACTATTACAAAATTATGTTCCGAAAAGGTATCGCAAAAATGAGCAAGTAAAAAGTCGATCTTTGTCGATTCTTCTAAATCTCTGTCAGAAATTGTCGGAATCTTTTATATATACGGACAATAAAATTATTGTAATCGTCTCAGTGACGGATTTCGAGAGTCCTGCATCTATTGAACTTCTGCTCGACTTACGATATCGAGATTTATTCCAGGGGAAAAATCAGTTTTGTCTTTACGAAGCGATCACGATGGATCAAGGTGGAACGTACGGATATAGGAGAGAGTGGAAAGAGAGGGATTCTCGACGATTTGCATCCGTGATAATAGAAACGTCCAGCAGGGTATAGCGTATTATATATACGTGGGCATCCGCGACGATAAAGGCAGCGCATACGTTAGCTCGTGGATAACGCGCTGGTCCGCAGATGGTCCGTGCCCGATAAAAGGGCGGATAATGATTTCCAAGACGATTCGAGCGAGGTATACACGCACGTATGTAGGCTTTTAGATTATATTCGCACTTTGTGTCACGCGAGAGACGAGATAGCGCGCCCCGATGTTTATGTCCGAGATTACGTTTCCGCGTGCATTCACCGAAATAGATCCCATACCGTAGGCGCGTAAATTTGCATCCCCCCAAAGTGGCTAGACGCGAACGTACTGAAGACACTTGCAATAAATGTACTTGCGTATTCTCTGGGGATACTCGAGCTCGATGGACTCGAATCATGTGCGATCCAGTTATATGCAGTAAAATCGAATTTACTGTACTAAACAAAGATTGATTAAATGAAAAAAAAAAACGCAAATAGATTAAAATAATAAAATAATAAAAATTGAATTAAATAAAAATAATGAAGGAATTTATTTAGATGATATAAATGATTTTCGAATTTACTGATGAAAGAGAGTATTTCTTGTCTTATAAAATCTTAATTGTTAAATTATTCTCTCGTGCTGCTTTAATGCAAAATATAATATATGCTATTTATGCATATATTATACATTGTATGGAAGTAGCTGGAACCTTACCGATGATGGGATAAAAAAAGAAACGATTTTTTTCTTGCACACGTTGCAATCTCCGTACATAGGTCTAACATACGATACCAGCAATATGAGAAAATTAATCTTACGTGCGCACCTTCTCTCGCAAACAATCTCACGTTACGATCTATGTGTGATCCACTTTTCCTTATCTGCAACATGAAAATTTCACGAATCAGTTATCTACTCTGGATAGTAATTATACTCTAAATCACCCCAGTTTCACGATGATCATTAATGTTTCGTACAAATGTTTATTTCATGTGATAACGAAACATTGTTATCACTTGTAATAAAAATAATGATAATTTTTCTCCTCACCCCCAAAAGATAATTAATATCGATATTAATAACATATAAATGAGAAAAGAGAACAAATTTCGTGAAAATCTCATAACGATCTAAATTAATGTATTATTATAAAATCGAGGAAAAACGCCTTGAACTGTTATCTCGCGATTCTATACTATATCCTCGACATTTCCGAATAATGCAAAGCTTTAGAATTGTATTGTATGTATATCTTCTCTAATAATAAATAGCGGTAATAAATACCTTGCGACTCTAATGAGGCAACTACTACTACTTACGAGTTAAGCGAGATATTAGGGATCCTCGCATTAATACGGCGGAATATACGATGCTTATTAAAGTATCGCGATCAATCTTAATTGATCGGCCAGCACGCGCAACCTTGCACCGCTTATCGTTATAAGGCCTTCTCTCTCTCGTGGGAGGCAAAAGCCGATAAAAGCGGCCCCGGAGTAGCCGGGGTGCCCGGGCAATCAGCAAATGGAATCGTTAGTTAGTTAGTCCCCGTAATCTTCGATCGGACGTTGGTTCCTCCTTGTTGTACACGCTCGCGGTC